TCCTATGAGCTGGGTAGAGTAACTATCCCTCCCAGTCTTGAAAGAGTGGTCTCTCTGTAGACTAGGGGGTGAATAGTGTCGGCCGTCCAGCTGTATTCAGAGCAGGCATGTGAGGTGCCTTGTGTGTCTCCTGGCCTGAGTAATAGGTTCCAAGTGGAGCCAGTCTGCTGTGTGTTCTGCTTTGCCCTTCTAATCTGGGCTCCCTGATGTAGATGGGACTGCTAGGTACATTCTTGGTGTGCCCTGTTGCTTTAACTATCTGTGATCAGAACAGGGTCAGGGCCTGCCTGGGGCTGCTTTTCATGCTTGTGTTTTTTTAAAAAAAATTTTTTATTATTACATCTGTGTCCTTATCCCCACCAAAGGACTTGTATGCATGCATATAATCAACCAAAGGACTTGTATGCATGCATATAAGCATAACCAATGGACATAAGACACTGGGGCATAGGGGAGGCTAGGGGACTGTCTAGGGCGGGGAGGAAAAATGGACACATATGTAATACCCTTTGTAATACTTTAAGCAATAAAATAAAAAAACAAACAAACAAAAAAAACTGATGCTAAATAGATACATGTAATTTAAAAAAAAAAGTTATTACATCTGTGTCCTTATCCCCACGTTACCCCCTCTCCCCCCACTTGTGCCCTCACCCGCCCGCCCCCCCTGTTGTCCGTGTCCATTGGTTAGGCCTATATGCTTGCATATAAGTCCTTGGTTCATGCTTGTGTCTTAATGCCCCACCAGTTCTGCCGCGTCTCTGGATGGGGCAGGTGTGTGTGTATGCACAGCTACACTTGGCTTGTTCTGTTCCCTCTCAAAGCAGCACAGCTCCTCTCTGCTCAGCTGCATCTTCCAACTCTGCACATGCAGCCCTGTGTGCATGCCCTATTGCTTTAACTGTCCACCCTTAGAGCAGGGTCTGGGCGGGACTACTCTGCATGCCTGTTTCTCAATGACCTACTGACTCTGCTTTTTCTCCAGGTGGGGCAGCCTTTCATGCATACAGCAGGACCCTACTCACTCTGCCTGGGGCAGCCCTGTGTATGGACACTGCAAAGTTTTGCTAGGTCTCTGTGGACAGGGGGAGTCCCTTGTGTGTGCAGCGCAGTGGGTGTAAAAAGCAGCACCCCATTGTACCCACTGGATCAATATCCTGGTGGAGGCGCCAACTTTGTATGCATCCTATGGTGCCTTCCTCTTTCTGCTGGATCTAGCTCCAGGAGGGGTAGCTGGGGCCTGCAGGTCAGCCAGAGAACCTGGGTGGAGCTCCCGCCCACTGTCCCTGTTTAGGGGACACATAAACAGTGGCGCTCACTTCTTCCTCCGGTCCTGTGTTGTTTTCTTAGCTCCCAGAGAGCTGTCATGGTACCCCAATCTTCTCTATGTGGTCCGTTTCTCTCGCTTGTGTAGAAGCTGTAAGAGGAACTATTCTAAACACAGAAGTACATTTTGATGTGTTCTTGGAAAGAGGCAAGCTCAGCGTCCACCTACACCACCATCCTGGGCCTGCCTCTCCGACTTGAAAGCTTTTTATTTGCATTTTATCTACTGATTCTCAGGACAAGCAATACTCAAATTAGGGCACTCCCACTATTTCATCATTCAGGTTTTGGTTTGTTTGATGATTATTCTTATTTCTCTTAGAGAACCTTTTACTATTAGTTGGTTTATAACCTGTGAATAGTATCTATCGAATCAATTGCCTTCCACTGCTGAAGAGAGGAAATTGGCAAGCTTACACAACCCTGTCCACCATTTCTCCCCTTAATTTGGTAAAACTGCTTTATTTCTACACTGGCATGGTGTATAATGTGTGTTCCATTTTATAACCATAATTCTCCCACAAAGGGAGGCTTGGTTATATTTTTCTGACATTTATACAGCACAGATAAAAGAGAATATTATAAGGAACACTTGTATAACCATTACGTAGGTCTCATCATTAACCTTTTACTATACTTTATCACCTTTCTCCACCCCTCAAACTATCACGTGTGTGTGTATATTTCAAAGTAAGATGAAGACATCTGTACACTTCCCCCTGAATATGTCAGCATGCATCTCATTAACTGCTCAATATCTACTTACTGTGTTCTTTTTTCTGGTATAAAATTGATACACACAATGAAATGCACAGTTTTTTTAAAAACAAAAAAAAACACGTTCAATTCTCACCACCCTTTTACTGAATTTTTCTGTTGATATCTTGGCTGGTAAATGTGTCTTCTTTGTTCTCTTCAATATAAACTCCTGGGACATATAATCCCTGAACTGTGCATGTTTGAATGCATCCGCCCTTTAATTTTATGCCTGAGTGACAGTGAGTGGGTTTAAAACTCCTGAGTCCTAGTCTTCTCCCTGGAGGATTTTGGGCACATTGTTCTCCTGGAATACTGCAGTCGAGAAGTTTTCTGACCTATTTACCCTTTACACAGGTGATGGGGATTTGGTGTTGGTTTGTTTGCTTGGTGATTTTTGCCTGGATCCCCCAGACTCCTTACAATCTAGCTTAGTGCTTCCTCAACTTTAAGGAAGGTGTGAACCATGTGTGGGTCTTATTAAAATGCAGATCCTGAGTCAGGAGGGCTGGAGTATGGCCTGAGATCCTGACTCTCCCGGCTGCTCTGTGGACAGTGGGGAAGAAGGTGGTCTCTGCTCACAGACTGTTAGAATGTACTGGGATCTGCATGCTCCATGGTGTCTGGGGAGGCTGCCAGGCAGCCCATGCCCTGACGAACATGGTTCCAAGCAAAGTGGGGCTGCTGCTCTCAGCATGTGCCTCCGGATTTGGAGAAGCGGGCTCTGTACCCTCTGCCTCCAGCTCCGTGTACCTCCCCTCACTGCCCAGGTCTCGTGGTTACAAGCAGCCCTTCACGTATACTGGGAATTGGGACTGAAAGGTGTTTGCCAGTTTCACCAAAAATAGGGTTTGTTTCTAGTTGTGTCACAGAGGAAAGGGAACTAGAGACTTCTTTTCAAGTAAGAGCAGTGTGTTGGCTTAGGGAGAGTAGAGGAGGCCTGGACAGCTGGGAGAACACAGAGTTTGAGGTCAAACATTCCTAGGTTTGGATCCAGCTGCGGTCTTACAGGTGTGTGACCTTGAGCAAGTTCATTAACATCTCTAGGCCCCAAAGTGTTCCTATTTAAAAAGCGGAGGTGATAAAACCTCTCTCACTGGGTTGCTATGAGGATTAAAGGGGAAAGAGTTTAAGGCACCTCACACAATAAATGATGTTTTCCTTCCTTCCTTCCCAAGCTCCAGCTGGCTTAAAAGCTTAAGCGCATCCCTAATGACAATGGGCAAAGTTTATTTTTGAGTTCAGAAGGCCCCCAATGCCTTCTGCACAAAGGGGTTGTTCACTGTATTTCATTTTCTCCATGAATATGGATGTGCCAGGCATTGTCAGAAGCTGGAGTCACAGTTTCCATCTTCCTTGAAGTCGTATTCTTTGTTTTTTAAATCTCCAAGCTAAGCCATAGCATTTTCTAGATGACCCGACACAGTGTGGTGGCAGGTAAGAAGGGTTCATCAGCTCTGACCTCCCCAAGGCACGGGGAGGGGCTGCGGTGGTCCTGTCCCTTAGCCTTCCAGGGGACATGAGTAACAGCAGGGGGAGTCCACATGCAGGGTGGACATTTACCATAAAAAGGAATTGGTCCTAAGCCTTATTTATTTTAAAAGCAGCAGATTACAAAGTTAAGAACTGTACCTAAATTGCTGGGTTTAATGTAGCGGGCAAGTTAACCAAGAGGGGTTGCGCAGCATCAGGCCTCTGGGACTTAGCATTTGTTATCCTTATTAGAGTAAATTAGGAAGCAGGATATTTCTAAAGTACTAAAAAGCAGGCAGTTTAAACATTTCTCAGGTTCTTGTTTAATCTACTCATTTGCTTAGGAATTTGTTCCTTGACGATAATAAGATGGGCAGCCTCAGTCTAGCTCAGTTTTCTCAAGTGCCATCCTGGGATCCATCTGAGGAGCTGGCTAAACACGCAGATTCCTTGGGCTCAGGGACCTGCATGTTCTAACCAGGGTCCCCAGCATGCCTGGCAAGTGCCCAGCGATGGAAATGATCAGACTTATCATCTAAGAAATGTAGGGAATATCCAATATGTTCTACGTTTGGGGGTCGGGGGGAAGACCCCCAGTAAACAAGACCAAAAGTTTCCAAAAAACATCGAGAAAAGAATGCTTAGAAAACAGGGAAACAGTGACCTCATGAGGAATCCAGAAGGATCTATATGATCTAATGTCTCAAATACTAAGAAAGGGGAAGAAGGGAATTCAACATCAAGTGAGGGACTATTTAGCAACATTCCACATAAAATCCAGCAGGAAAGTGAATTAGAGAAACTATACAGGAAGCAGCACCAAGCTCATCTGCCCCAAATCTCCTCCTGCTTGGGGGAGTCTGATTCCCAACAGCTGGTCACATGACCCATCCTGGTCCCAGGCAAATAGAAAATGCCCCTTCTCAAAGTATAAGGGGTTTTGTGTTTTGTTCAGCATGGAAGAAAGTTACAATTGAAAAAAAAAAATCAACCATCCCATGGAAGAGGCAAGTGGAGACCTGAAGCTTCAGCAATTTGCCCAGCTGACTCGGCAGAGACAGACCTAAGATGGTAATTCACTCCACTCCTGAGGCCTACTCCTTCCCGGCCAGGGAGCGGGTGGGAAGCCCAACCAGATGCTAGCCCCTGGCTGAGGACAGGCATAAGCTTCCAACCTTCCCAAATGAAATCAAACCACAGTGCCAGGTGGAAAATCAACTCGCAGTCCAACTTCGTCACCTTGCCCGTGCCTGTGCTGGATGAGGGCCTGGGCGTGTGCCAGCCCACGGGAACTACTATGAGATCAGTTGCCTAAGCCCCCTAATCGGTTTTGCAGTGACTTCAGAAAAACCAGGAAAAATGCATTTTCATTCTTTTTAATCCAGCAGCACAGACCACAGAACAATGCTAGCCCAAACCGAACCCCTTAATGAGAAGCCGCTTACCTGACTTGATTCCTTTAATGGGGTAAGTAGCATGCGCGAGAAAGTTGGGGTCGCTGAACATATCTTCCTCGTATACCACAAAGCGCAGAAACGCCAGGTTTGGGTCATAGATTTCAAATGTCACCTTCTCCTGCGTTGAAGCCCAAACAGGGCTTAGGCCATTGTCATCTGGAAGGTGATCAAAGCTTATTAAAGACGCCATTTGGGAAACCATCTTTACATTCATCGGCTGGGCTTTGAATCTCCTTAGCAACTGTGTAAATATGCAGCTAAGAAAATAGGAAGAATCTTGTTTCCACTAGCAATTGTGGTAAAGCGGTTGTCACAGGCCTGAGTAAGGTGGGGGGAGACCCCTTTATACAGCTCCCATCTCAACTCCCCAGGATGAGGAAGGGAATGGAGGCCACAGCAGAGAAGGAACAGGGGGGTTAGGCTGACCCAAAAAACAAGTTTCACTGGTTAGCGTGTGAGCTGCCACTGAGCCAGCTTTCACCAGGCACAGTGACCCCAGGCCCAGTTCACGGTGTCTTCCTGGCTTAAAGTGGAAGCACAAGCATTTCCTAGGCCTCCCTGCCCTCTGTGGGTCAGGCATCACATCCTGTGTCTCTGCTCCTGTCCTGGGCTAAGGAGATGGGGGGGGTTAGAGGGGGGGACGACGGGACTGTGGCACAGAGCAAGGGCCCTGCCGCCTGAGTTACAGGCAGAGCATCGCAGCACGGGGCACAATCGACTATTTAATCACGTGCTCCTCTGTTTCCCCTCCCTGAGCTGAACCACAGTGAGCAAAAGGGACGAAGGAGAAGACACGGCCAAGCAAAGTGCCTTACAAACCCCCCAACATGTGACTCAACTCGCTTGAAGTTTAAGAGAAGGATGTTCCCAGGCGACTTACTCACAACCGTCGTCTTAAACTTATTGTTGTCATATTCGGCTCCACATATTTCCACCTCCACAAAGGGACATGCAATACTTCGTCCGAGCTTGGGGAGATGGCGAGCCCCGAGAACCTAGGATACCACAGGTGAGTACGGGAATTCTCCCACACCCGTCCTGGGAAGAGCTAACAAGGTCAGCATGGGTGGGCTGGCAGCGAGCTCAGGTGGGTTCTAGCGTCAGACCACATGAGCTCGAACCAGCCTCTGTTCTTCACTGGAGAAGTCCTGACAACCTTGTCAAGTGGATCCCACCCCTGTTTCCTCCTCGTGGATGAGAAGATGGGGGTGGATTCCTACAGCTGTTCGGACAGGGGTGGGGAACCTTTTCTCTGCCAGGGCTCATTTTGGATACTTACAACATCATTCGCAGGCCTTACAAAAGTATCAACTTAAAAATTAGCCTGCTCTATTTGATCAAACATTTCATTAACTACCCCCTAATGCCTTGGCAGGGCCAGACGTTCCCCACCCCTGTGTTAAGGTGAGCTGGGAGCAGAACGCCCAGGCCATCAGAATCAACAGGAGGACCTCACTTGAGCACAGAACACATCCACCCGTGCCCAGGTGCGCACCCACAGAGTTGAATCCCTTGATTCCCGGCTCCCAGAAAAGGATGGGGGAGTGTGTGTGGTTTTCTTTTAAAGACCTTTGGTCACAAAAGCTTCATTTTTTCTACCTTGCATAGTTTCCAAAGGAGGAAAAAACAAAAATTCTCACAAAGAGACAACACATTCTCTGAAAGTTGAGTCTCTTGAGTTTTAAAAAGCTTTCATCTTTAAATATGGCCATTGTGGGGCCAAACGCTCACCTCCCTAAAGACCAAAGGTCCGTTTTCCCACATGCTTTCTTTTCCTGGCCAGAATCTGTCCTCGCTGGGACCCAGGAGATGCCCTCCTGAACCCTGCAAGAGCTGGATTCATACCTAGCCCCGCAGGTGACATGGGTAAGGTGTCCAAAATGGATTTGAGAGGGTCTCCCTTCCTCCCCGGGGGTGCACTCTAATTCAGATCCTCAAACCATGTCTGGGTGGTGATGGTTTAAACCAAATGAGAGGAGTCGCTAGGCCCTGATTCCCTGGGCGAGGAAGGAGAGTGTGGCCTTACCTTGACCGTCAAGGTCATCAGAATCTTCCTCTGGGACTCGGGCGGCATGGGGTCATACTTCTCCGTCCTCATGCTCTCGGGTTGCAGGACGTAGCCGGTCCTCCCGTTGAGTGAAAACAAGGCCTGGTTCATCTGCATGTATTTGTCTGGGAAGGAAAGGGCACTGCTGGTGGAAGTCGGGCAGGAAAAGGCTGGCTTCCTGGGCCCGGACATGCCAGGTGGGGAATGATTTGCTCATTTTTCCAAAAATAATTAAGCCAGTTGTTAAGATATCTAAACTTAAAATATGGAAACACCTTTCCAAGTATGAAACATTTAAAAAAAAGAATTTAAAACTACTCAAAGCTAAATATGTCTACGTAGGAAAAAATTTCCACAAAAGACGTGCTGTGGAAAGAAAAATCCTAACTCAAATATAGGGTGTCCCCCCAAAAATGTATACACACTTTGAATAATTATTCATTCCAGTGGGTTAAATCTGAAAAGAAAGAAACAAACATCAACTGAGCTATCAGAAAAAAGTGTGTACATTTTTTTGGGACACCCTGTCCTATAAAGTTAACCTAAGAGCTCTGATCCATGTGAGCTATAAATACCTACACCCCATTAGAACAGCTGGGTCAGAAGCGTGAACAGTTTGTAGAAGCGAAAAAGCAAGTGTTTCCTAAATACATGAAAAACTGGCTCCTGTGACTCATAAGAGCAGAACCAATAAGGGAAGCTTCAATGACAGGTGACGGCAGTTTTCATCTATCACTCAGGTGGGTGAAGATTGGAAAGTGTGATAAAACTAAGTTGGTGGAGTCGTGCCAGAGGATGTATTCAAATGCGTTACCAGTTCGCAATCGCACGCGCCATCTCTAGGGAGGCGTGTGGCCAAGTGTCTCAGCTCAGGCGCCACGGGATACAGGTGTTCAGTGGTTGTCCTTAGGGCCAAGTTGATCAAAATGCTAGTGATGTTTGACGCTCCCTGCCTGTCTGAGAATTGTCTGGCAGATGCAGTGCCGCATCTGTGACGCGATGCTCACAGAAGGTTACAGAAGGCAGTGCCATCTGGAATAGCAGAGGATGGGGAGTACCCTAAATGTGCCTCAGCGGGGGGGGGGCGGCTGAATAAATGATGGTTCTAGTCAGTGGAATCCTACACAGGCATAAAAGCATAGAGAGGACACTACTGACGAACAGATCCCCAAAAGAGGCTTAACCAACACCTAAAGTGCAGAACACTGTAATTTATGCTGCCATTTGTGTAAAGGAGTTATGCATGCAGGTTTTTCCCAGCATGTAGTCCTCAGAGATGCACCAGGAAGGGAGGAAAGCGCTGAAAAAAGTCACTGAACACCTTGATCCACTGTGCCTGGAGCTGATGCAACCTCTGAGCTTTTTAATTACATGAGCTAATGCATTTCCTTTCTCTCTCAATCCAGACTAACTCAGTGTTGCCACTTGCATCACGGAACCTGCCAAATACAAGTGTGCCTAGTGTCAGGCGTGCTCATCAGTTCCCTCAATCACTCTATTCAACTGATGGACCTCAACCTAACCCTACCATGCTGGTTGAACCCGTTCCTCAGACAGATCACATGTTCTGGACACCACAGCCCACCAGTGGCCCCAGTAGACTGCCTGGACTGACACCGCCATCACCTTAGATTTAGTGGCCACAAGAAGCCTCTTTTACCTCCAGTCTGGAAATTGAGTGCCACCATTTGGGAGCCGCACAGCCAGAGGCGGAAGGGGTCGTAGTTGGAGGAGTCCACCCTCTGTCCCTTCGGGTAAACACGCGTCAGGCCCTTCTGATTGTACTTCAGGAGCTCAATGGGTTTCTGTCTGACGACGCTGTCGGCCTTCGTCTCCACAAAGGAACGGATCTCTCGGAAGTCGGGATTCTCTGCAGACAGCGACAGAGGCACCGTTATTTTGCGTCTCCTCATTTCCTTCACGCAGAGGCTTATAAAATGAAACCAGGAATCTCTGGGACAAGACGCGCATGTGGTTCTGATGATATTGCCATAATTGGGACTGCTATGGGCTCCTGCGCTTCCGGGAGCCTAGCTATTAAAGGTGCCAAGTGTTCCCCCAACCTTTTCATTTAGGTTGTTTTCTTTTTAAAATTACCAGCAGCCTTGCACAAGGAAACACAAAAATGGTACAATTATAAAAAGGGGGAATGGCCTCAGGGATCAGCATGTAGCAGGAGATCTTAGGAGTGGCTTCCTCATCAAAGGTGATGTAGATACAGGCAAGTAAACCAAGCCTCTTGGTGGAGGGAGAATGGAGTGCCCACAGGAAGAGCTGAGAAAGAGGAGGGGGCAATGAATGGGCGGAGAGGGATGGGAATGTGTGAACAATTCTTTGTTGGATGAAGCTTTGCTACTTCATATCCAGCTGTGGTGGGACAGCCCATAAACCTGCGGAGTGGAGGTGCCTCCCAGTGACCATTAACTCAGGGGTTTAGTACTGTTTCTCTGGTCCCTGGTCCTGGAATCACAAGTTCTTGAGATCAAAGATAGGATCCCCTCAAAGAAAGGGGGAAGAGAACGTGAATGGGATCATTCTAAGATCAAAGAATTGGCTACTTCAGAGAATTTGGTAGAAGAGCCATTTTTTAATCCTGTACTGTATACTAGCCCCCAAAGATCCTGATCCCTGGAACCTGTGAATATGCAGCCTTTTATGGCAAAAGGGACTTTGCAGATATAATTAAGGAGCTTGCCATGGGGAGATTATCTGCACCCTCAATGTAACCCAGGGTCCTTGTAATAGGGACATATTTTTACTACATAGAAGGCCATGTGACTGAGAGGCAGTTTGGAGTGATGCAGCCACTAGCTAAGGAATGCTGGCAGCCACCAGAAGCTGGAAGAGGCAAGGAACATATTCTCCCCTGGAGGGAGTGGCTGAAATCTGCCCACACCTTGATTTCAGCCTAGAGATATTGACTTTAGACTTCTGGCTTCCAGGAGGCCAGAGGGTATAAATATATGTTGTTTTCAGCCACCACATTTGTAGTTAACAGTAGAAAACTAACAACCTTCCCTCTGAGAGGGTTTTCCTCCTCAAGCTATCAGACGGGCCTGTCACGAGCACCGTGGTCCTAAGGACTAATCCAGGGGAAGCGCCACGGAGAGCAGTTCAGAACGAGCAGGAACCACACTCACTGTGCCCTCTAAAAATGCCAGACTCAAAGAGGAAATGCATTTTCACCGTGTCCGGAGGCAGTCAGGGGAGGCAGTACCTAGATTGTCTTTGGTCTTGCTGGTTGGTTTGCAGTAGACGACCAGGTCCGAGAGCTCGATGGCGATCGACTGGTTCTTCTCCCAGTATTTCATGTTGTTCTCCTGTTGGGGGCCAACTGTCTTTAGTGTCAGACCTCAAGCCAGCACCCGCGAAATTCCATCGCCCCAGCTCACCTGGCATGCCTTCCTCTCCTCTGCTTCCCCTCTCGCTCCTCTTGGCCCTCCTGCATGCTCAGATCTTTGACACGGTTGAATGTTTTCCTTGCCTCTGCCCCTCCTCTCTTTCCTTCCTCTTCCTGCCGAAATTCTTGACCAAGTTGTTTCCACCCAGGATTGGTGTCTGTCACCACACCACTCTCCTTAACCCTCTGCTCTCGGCGTCCTGGCCTGTCCCTTCCCCTAAAACCACTGTTACAGCTCATCCAATTCTAGTTCTCCAAGACATGACCTCATGTCCTCCTGGGCTCTGTAGACCACAGCATCTTTCTTATAACTTGCTGAACCCTTCACCCTTCTCCTCTGAAGCTGAGGAAGTGTGCACAGCCTCCTCCTGCCTCTGATTTCTCAAATGCCCCAGAGGTCACATCCCAGGTCCCCTGAATCACAGCAGTGACCTCCTAGCTCAGTGATGGCGAACCTATGACACCTCTGACATGCGAACTCATTTTGTTGGTTGATTTTTCTTTGTTAAATGGCATTTAAATATATAAAATATCAAAAATATAAATCTTTGTTTTACTATGGTTGCAAATATCAAAAAATTTCTATTTGTGACACGGCACCAGAGTTAAGTTAGGGTTTTTCAAAATGCTGACATGCTGAGCTCAAAAGGTTCGCCATCACTGTCCTAGCTCCTCACCCTGCAGCTCCCGTCCTCCCTCCTTTGCATTTCATCAGTTCCCTCCTCCTGGACCTTACCCAGATCATTCCTTCTCCAGGAAGCCTTCCTGGATTACTCCAGCCAGGACTACAAAAGGATATTGCCTTCCTCAAGTCTCCCAGAGTGCTCACCATTTCACCCACACTTGGCCTTGCTCAGCCTTAAACACTGTCCCTTGTCCGACTGTCCTGCATTGATGCCATTCATCACTATTGCCCAGACCCTGTTTCCCCACTGAGACATGTCCCTTGCGAGCAGCGCCCTGTGGGGAACAAGTGTTCAGGTGGCAGGTAGTGAGGGGGCTACACAACACAGTGGTAATGACAGTGGAAACAAATCAGAGACATGGGTTTGAAAGCGGCCCCTGCTATTTACTAGCTGGGTCAACAGGGCAAGTCACAGACTCTCTCTGCACCTCAGTTTCCTCAACTGTGAAATAAGGCTAAGATGAGTACTCTACTCTCAGAGAATTAGACAAGGAGGACTTGGCACTCCTCCAGGCTTGTAGGGCCACTCAGAAATGTCCCCCAGGCAAAGGACAGAAAAAGTCCACTCTTTACACAAGCGGGTGTGGGACCCGATTTCTTCAACCCATAAGCACCCACATAAATCCTGGGGCCAAAGTGGACCTTGGCAATGACCGGCAAACAAGCCTTTTATATGAGCCCCAGCAGTGACCACATCACCAGGGCAGATTAGAACGTGACTGTAAGCTTCCAAAATTTGTTCTAGCTCACCTATGCATGCCTAACTTTCACCAGCCCTTTCCACACTTTCTGAATGCAAGCCATAATGGTAGGGCTGTTGTAGGTGGGGTGGGATGGGCCAGAATCAGTGGCAAAGATGCCAGCCACATAGTTGATAGCAAAATGCCATGAGGAAAACAGAAGCCTTACTTGTTTTCGGACTTCAGGTGTTTTCTCCTGAACCTTGTATCAGCGTGGCTTTGTATTCTGGGTGGTTTCACCATGGGGTTGTTTGGAGACAGAAAACCCCAGCAACAACACAGTTCACCTCTAATGACAACGGAGTTGCTTTAAATGTGTGTGTGGGAGGGTCATACCTCTGGTGAATTATAGAACTTTGGCCTCACAAAGCGCAGAGCAATGACCAGCTATGGGCTTCACGTTTTCCAACCTTAGCAGAAGACATATTAGTTTAAGATGAAATACCAGTTGCTTCCTCAAAATCTTATAATAATTATTCTAAAAAAATGGCAGAATTTGCCCGCCAGGCCATCTCAGAATATGAAGTCACAGCACAGTGCATGGGCCAGGCTTTGGAAGCTCACTAACCGGACGGATCTTAGTGACTGGTCTTGTGCCGGGGACTGTGTGAAAGCGCAGGTCCCTGAGCACGTTCTTATGGGCAGGCACAATGGGGAAGCCTCGGTGAGGAGCTCCCAGCAGTGAGCTGAGAGCTCACCTCACCTTGGTCTCCCAAAGGCAGGGTGGGGCCTCCTTCCTGTTCCCACACCGGCTCTTCTTACAGCTGGTTGTGCCCAGAGCAAGACTCCGTCAATTCCAGAAACTCCTGCTTTTTTTTTTAACCTTCGTATGTAATAAGACTTTAAAAAAAGCTGTTCTCATGAAATCTTAGCAGTTGTAAAAACCAATTAAAGAGGAATGTAGATCAAAGTCAGAGAACAGCAGCCTTGAACAGCCAGGCTTAGTTTCCGAAGCCTCATGCAGGAGAGGAGAGAAAGGGGCAGAGAGAACCTTTGAGTGAAGTCACATTTTCCTCCATGAATAGCGGCCGAGAGCCAGGATGCACAGGGAGGAGGAGGGTGCCATCGCCACGCCTATACCGCTGAGCCCACACTCAGACCACTTTCAGGGGAGGTTTGGGTGCCTCAGAATAAAGTCTACAGAGAACAGTTGCTAAGGGCTTCGTCGCTGGTGTTTTTCTCCATTCTCAGCTTTAGGGGCCCAGAATCACAAATACTAGAACATGCTTAGGAGGGTCACAGGCTGGCAAATGGTGCCATTCAATTCATGACAATCATTCAACTGGCAATGAGAACACACCTGGAAGAAGGTAGGGGAAATGATCTTTCAAATGAACCTTGGTACAGTGGCGCCCCCTTGTGCCTCGGAGCTGTTCTACATTGAAGGCCCAGAGGCAAATGAGATGCCCTGACCAGGAAAGATGGGAACTGGCTGACCACAGTTCATCATAAGTGACTGGTGATGGTGTGACAAGACGGGAAGAATGAGGACTCATATGTGAGGCCTCTGACTAGACTCTGGGACAGGAAAGATGACAGGTCCTACCAGCTCTCTGTAGAAAGTCTTCTTAGTAAGAGGACATCACCTTAGGACAGGGATGGGCAAACTTTTTGACTCGAGGGCCACAATGGGTTCTTAAACTGGACTCAGAAGAAGGAGCTGCGGCCGTGTTTCCCGACGTTGCCATGTTAACACTGCTGCTGGTGAAGGAGCGGAGGGGAAAGCAAGAGAACCCTCCACTCTTTCGGCTCCGCGGGCCGGACAGAACAGCCGAACGGGCCGGATCCGGCCCGCGGGCCGTAGTTTGCCCACGGCTGCCTTAGGGTGTTGAAAGGGTGAGTCAAGGTGACCAGAGACTGGCCAAGTGTGAGGTCCCCCAGGGGGAAGGAAAGACCCGGCTGCTGCCACCTCCTCCCAGAACACTGAAGGAGAAAGACCCATCAACAGTAACCAGAGGTCACAAGGACCGAAGAGATCCTGAGAAGACTTTAAAACCATCCCTTTGGGTCAAGACCTGTCTTAGAAGACGTGTACGTATGGGAAACCCTAAAATTTCTTCCCAGTTCTATGGCCACAGGAGAGAGCAGAAGGCACCTTACACCTCCCCAAGCCCTCCTGGTGTGACGACAATGTGGTGATTAAATACCATTGTGAGCTGAGCATTGCTGTACCAGCCTAGCACTTCTCACACTTTATCTCCTTTCATCTTTGGCTCCTCATTTTGCAAACAAGGAAACTGAGGCCCAGAGAAGTTCAGTGACTTGCCCAGGGACCAGCCCTGCCAGGATGCAAACCCCAGTCTGCCTGGAACTACCCCTCCTGCTCTTCCCCAGTACCCTTCTCAAAACGCTCCCAGCCCAACACTAAGCTCCAGGCAGAGTCACCCTGGAAAGCCCACGCCCATCTAGAGTGGAAGGTCTTCCACAACACGAACTTCCGGAGGGAAAGAATGGGTCCTGCCAGTTACATTTCCCCAGGGCCACTGCGGGTCTGGGGAGGCGAGCTCAGGGCACGCTTGTTGGAGGAGGGGTCCCTCCTGCTTTGAACAACGTTGGAGACAAGAAAACACTCACAATAAGGAAGGCAAAACTTTCTTGTCAAGATATGGCCCCAAACATCAAGAGTCACTGCGCACACTCTGACTTCTGAAGGTCTGAACTAGCCCCAGCTTCCAGGGGACCTACAATATCCCTTCCTCTTCAAAATGATTGGCGGTCCTATTGTCCGAACCCACCCCATTGCCTCCCTGAATTCCGTGTGGCCCCTGGGCCTGCACCTCCTGCTGCCGAAACCCACCCACCTCGCAGCAGAGCACACCAGGCCCACCCGAGCCCAGCTGAGCCGAGGGCCTACCTTGGTGTCGATCTTCCAGGTGATCTGCCGGATGCTCTGGAACCACTCGAAGAGCTCCTCCACCCGGTCCGTGGCGAACTCCACCGGCGGGTCACCCTGCTTCTTGGGCTCCAGGATGAAGACGAAGGACTTCTGGTTTTTCCCGTGCGGGGCTTTCACTTTGTGAGAGAATAACACAAGCCCTGGTCAGCCTGTTGAGAGCCACGAGACCAGACTGCACGCTGCCCGAGCCACTTGTGTCACGAACCCAAATGCCACTGTGTGGGCAGTGCTGACGGGGACGTCGGCTTTGGGCCAGGCAGGGTCTGCCCTCCACACGTGACTGCTCAAGCTATGCAGCAGCCTCAGCTGTGTTCTCCAAGAAGACAGACCCACGTCCTAAGCCCTGGTACCTAGGAATGGGAACGCAGTTGGAAACAGGGTCTTTGCAGATGTACTTAAGGATCTCAGGATGAGGCCATCCTGGAGTCATCTAAGCGCCAGTGTCCTTACCAGAGAAAGAAGAGGGGAACTTGAGACACAGACACAGGGATGGCGGCCACTAAAGACAGGCAGCGACTGGAGTGATGCAGCCACAAGCCAAGGGACACCGAGGGTGGCCAGCAGCCACCAGGAGGTGGGAGGGAGGCATGGAACAGATTCTCTCTGCAGAGAAAGTGTTTTTAGGTATAAAAAAAAAAAAAAGGCCACGAGAGGATAAAGTGTCTGCCACGTAACATTAGTCGCTAAGATCTCTGGGCTTGTATATGCCAGGCAGTATTCTAAGCAGATTACACGCACTGTATCTTATTCCACCTTTATCACAACCTTCTGGGGTGCCACTCCTGTCACGCCCGTTTTACAGGAGCGGAAACAGAGACACGCTGAGGGGAAGTGACGCATGAACGGTCACACAGCCAGTCACGGCAAAGCTGGGGCTCGAATCAGACCTGGCTTCAAGGCTCCTCCTCGTCACCACTCAGCCACGTGCCTGCGCTCTGCAAACACGGGGCAGACGATACACAGAGCAACACAAGTGAGTTTCAGCTCATCCATGAACTTGCTGGGGACCTCGGGCAGGGCTTGTGGTCACCTAGGGGCTTGGTTTCTCACCTGTTAACTGGAACCAAGAATCCCTGTCTTACCTACCCTCTCAGGTTATTGTCAAGAGAAAAACAGACAAACAGGTAATAAATGGAGAAAGCAAAGAGCTGACACTAGAAGCAGAAAGTTCCTGGCACTATTGTTATCTGAGGCTGAGGACCCTGCTCAGGCCTCTCCAGCAAAAGTACTGGAGGGAATAGGCCCAGGCTAATGCACGGATGGACTGCACGGAGCTGTGGAAACACGGCGGCTCAGCGAGGAGCGCTGCGTGGGCTTCCTGCCCAGAGTGTTCTCACTGCCTCTGTCCCTTCGTGTGGAAGCTGCTACGTCCCCACTGAAAAGCGGGCCTGGTCAGGCTCAGATGTGCTGAAGGCTCGGAGGATGAGACTGCCACTGGCACCGTTGTATGCGCCTGTGTGCGTGGGCCGTGCATTCACATCTCCCCTTGCACCAGACTCCAAGGTGGGCAGGCCAGGTTTGCCCATGCCCAGCTGGGCAGCCAGCAAATGGAGGTTCAGAGAGAAGTGACAGGTCCAGGGTCTCATAGCAACTGAGAGGCTGAGCTGGGCTTCCAACTGGACACTCCTAACTCCATGCTCAATCACAGCCGGGCCAACAGCCCAGCTCCTCTTAAAATAGCGTCCAGGCAGATCTCTGAAATGATGATGTTTGGAGTAATATTAAACATGCATCTAGCACTTGCTCTGCACCAGACCCTGTGTTAGCACTTGACAGTTATTAACAGCTGACATAACACTGCAATCAGCAACCAGCCTGGCCCAATACTCAACATGAGCATCCAAGTCAAGGCTAGAAGGACCTAGCCAGAGCCGCCTCCCTGTAGGGGGTGGTTCTGAGGCCAGACTGGAGGATTTGGGTGGGAATCCAGGCTAAGACCATGTGTGAACGTACCAACGTTATAGGTGTTGAGATCCAATATTCCTTTGCAAAGAGACCCTAAGGGATTGTCTTCAATAATCTGTGAAGAAATAAGACATAACTCACGTTAGCCTTAACAGGTATAATCACAAAAGACAACCTGTTTCCAAAGCACACCATTTAGCGGAGACACTGCCAGTGGAACTGTTTAAAATGCATTTTCATTACCGGATACGTCCAAGGGGAGAGAGCTAACTAATGAAGCATGTTACTGATAGGGACTCAGCAGTGAGCAGGTGCCCGCAGGTGCGGCGATTCATTTTCCAATCTGTAAAAATGTGCCTTGTGAATTCTAGAACAGGTTTTGAAGCGTTTCCATAGATCTGATTTCAAAAACATCCCAGACCCTTTATTCTGACATTATTATTATGAAATGGGACTATCTGGTCACCTAAAGCACAATTCAAGAACCTTCTGTGACTCTCCATGTCCTACGGGAGCAACATCCATGCTGTCATCTGACTTTAAGGCTTTCTAGAAACCCCAATCAGCCTTCCAGCTCTACCTCCCACTGTACATCTGAACCATCCCAGGGTCCAGGTGAGATAGGGAACACCCTGTCTTAGGAGAGCTGGCAGAACTGTGCATCTGCCCATTGCCTGTTCACCCCCATTCCTAATGCTCTGTGGGTAGGGGCATCATGGAAAGACGCAATAAGGGGGTTACATCTCTTCCTCAGGTTGAACACACTGAACACAATCATGTTCCCACCACCACACCTTTGCTTAGGCTGTACCTTCCACCTGGAATTCCCTTCTGTCAGTCTCTTGCTGTTGATCTCTAACTTGACTTTTAAGGTTCTAATGCCCCTTCCTCCAGGCAGCCTTCCCAGATTTCCCCAACTCACTTAGAAAATTCCTTACGCTCAAACAGGACCTTAAAGCCCTCATTATAAAGAGTTCATCCCTGGTGTAGTGCTGTCACAATGAAAGTAGCTTCTCTTTGAGTCTGCTGGGCAAGAGGAAGCAGGAAACAGAAACCAGGTTTGCGGTGTCACCAGGAAGGCCTCAGCGCGCCTTCCACTTTGGCCTGCTTGCTTATCGACACCAAGCACGTTCGTTCTGAATGTCTGGCTGGCCAAACGAAATGTGTTTCATTTGCAAGCTGCTTTAGGCAAAGGACATATTCCCCATTTGGCCATTTTCACTCCAGAGAGATTCCTCCTGCATATTCAAACCTTTCCAGCCCAGAACAACCTGATTAAAATATGATGGCGCGTCAGTGACTTTCACCCACGACAGCTCAGGCGCAATCCTGATTCCCATGTCACTCTGCTTCAGGGCTCCAGGGGGACCAAACGTCATCATGTATAAAATATAACCGCTGAGGTGACTTGGTGGATTCCCCGAGGATTAGCAGGTCCCTCCCTGCAACGATCGAGACTCACCTGCTTCTCGAGCTCCTCCACATCAACTGTTGAAATGTCCTCGACGTAATTGGATGGGAAGTAGTGCTGGATTTTGGTTCCATAGTCTCCTTTCCACCTAGATAAACAGAGGGCATCAAGGGCCTCGCTGGGCGTGTTAATCCACTCCTGTCCCTTAGACCCCAGCAGCTGGTGGGAGAAAGGCGGCCAGTGACCGAATGACCAGAAGAGGTGTTGAGGTAATGAAGCATTTCAAAGGGATCCTCTGATTTTTCATCAGCAATGAGTGGGATTGGAGGGAAATCCTCTTGCCATTTGGTCAAACTCCTGGACCCTGTACATGAGTTAGGTTAAGAGTGTGCGCTGTGGAGTCAGAAGGTCTGACTTCAAATCTCAGCCTGCTGTGTGGCCCTGGACAAGTTACTGTACTTCTCTGTGCCAGTCTGTTTGCAAAACGCAGGTTCAGCTCTCTTGTGGGAAGATGAGATACTGATCTTGTGAGGTGCTTCAATCTCTGCCAGTGTTCATAGTTAGGAACAAATTCTTACGGCTCTCAGGTAGAAATCACCCCACAAAACCACCTACGATGGGGCCTATGGCTGGGCAGCAAGTTTTTCTTCCCACGTGAAAAGAGGGAAGAGCTAACCGGACCTCAGCACACCAGGTACCTTTGACCTAAAATGCGTCTTCAACCCAGGATGGGGCCACTGCATAGGGCACAGGACTGGGCTGTAGCATAAGAATTTGAACTTAAAATAATGCCAGGCTTACGGAATGGAAAGAGCCTGTGCTACTTAGTAGCTGTGGAACTTTGGAAAGTTTCATTTGCCACGTCTGCAACGGGGATAATCATAGTAAAAACTCCACAGGGTCGTAATGAGGATTTGGTTAGATGACGTCGGAAAGCCATTAGCACAGTGTGTGGCATACAGGAAGACCTCAGAAATGGTAGCTGCTATTATAATAAAAATAATATATAATATGATATTATGGTATGTGATTTACTATGATAATAATTGGTGTTTATTTGTTTTTCTACATACAGCATGCAAGGTATCAAGCCATTTCCCAGAGAAAGTAGAACAGGTCAAAGCCAGCTCAGAACACAGATAAAAGGGGTCAGAGCTCAGCCAGCACTTGTGTCTCACCACCAAAAAGTGACCAGGGAAGTTCATCCACCAAGCAGCTCAACCTTACCAGCCCCCGGGCTCCTTGGAGACGTTGTGAATGAGGGCGCCGCGGCAGAAGCTCAGCTCATCACTCTGCTTGGCTTTGTAGTCATACAGAGCTTTCACGGTTCTCTGAGGCTTTCAGGGAAAACAAAAAGAAAAAGGTCAGGCAGGCTGATGAGCAGAGGGAGGCTTCTGCATTTACTGTCGCACATGTAGTTCTCCTTAGGGAGCCGGAGGCTTCAGTCCAGGGTTACAGCGCCATCTGCTGGCACGTTTCTAGCATTGCGAAGAACCCCAAGTCTCAAAAAGTCACCAGTAGAGATGGGGACTGGTCAGAGCCAAGGGCACCCCCATCACCCCAAATTGCTCAATTTCCTCAACACGCCTTTCAGATTAAGCCATGACCACCACCTGTGAAGTCCTCAGAGCCCACGCTCAACGACCTTCCCAGAAGTTCAAACTCAACACCATTCCTGGCCATCCTCGGCCTCACCAATGTTTAGCCAGGCCAGGGGTCTCCTAACTGGACTCCTGCAGGACACTGACATTTTGCATGAGTAACCGAGGCACTCCTCCATGGAAGTCATCCAAAGGTGATCTTGGCAGAAACAAATAACCCAGAACTTACTCGGGATAAAATTTTTCTTCAATATAACGTGCGTTAATGCCTCCATGGCAAGCATAAATCCATGGCAAAATGAATACCCATGCAGCAAGCAAATGTTAATCATAAAACCTGAAGCTGTCAAACTTGTTTAGATCAGCAATTTCCCTCTTACCCCCCCCCCCCCCCCCCGCCATCCCCCCTTCCCCGCCAAGGAAATGTGGACAGGTTTTACAAGGAATCTAGTAAAACTGCTCCTTCAAGCAGAGGCTCTGGAGTCAAACATGTGGGTTCAAATTATTGCTCTGCTCTTTACTACTATATAACCTTGAGGCGTTCTCAGACTCAGTGTCTCCATTCTGGAAAGGGGAATTAAAACTTTACATGCTTCACAGGGTTAAGACTATTTAATGAGATAGTGCAAGACAAAAATGATAATATCTAGCATTTAGTAAGGGCTTACTATAGTCAAAACACTGCTCTAGGCCTCTTATCTATATCTCCTTTAATACTTCCAACAACCATAACAGGTAGGTAGCAGTGTTCTTATATCCATTTTACAGAGGAGAAAACTGAGGTTCAGAGAGATGAAGTATCCTTGCCCAAGGTCAACTAGCTGGTAGGTGGCTGAGTGCAGAGATGAATCAATCAACCTGAGTTACTGCCATAGTTCATGATATTCCTTAAGAAGCAATCTAGTCCTAGCCGGTTTGGCTAAGTGGACAGAGCGTCTGCCCACGCGGACTGAAGGGTCTCGGGTTCGTTTCTGGTCAAGGGCACAGACCTCGGTTGCAGTCTTGATCCCCAGCCCTGGTCGGGGCTCATGTGGGAGGCAACCAATCATTGTGTCTCTCTCACCTCGATGTTTCTCTCTCCCCGTCCCTTCCACTCTCTCTAAAGATCAATGGAAAAATATCCCTGGGTGATGATTAACAAAACCAAAAAAGGCAATCTAATCTGGGTTCTGCAAGTTCTACCATAGGAACCCTCAACCAGAGGCTAACCAGGTCTCCTGCCCTTGTAAATGGAGCCTAACTGCCCATCTTGCTTCAAGGGCGGATGTCAGAATCTGAGCCACATCTCTCCCCATGAATCCCCACGAGTCACTGCCAGGCTCCCAGGCCACAAGGAAGGTACAGCCAGTGGCAGAGGTGGGGGTGCCATATGACGGCTTCCATAAGGAGCCAGCCCCCGGCCTGACAGACGGTCCCACAGAATCATTGGACCAAGTAGGCAGCAGCAATGCCAAGTGGCTAAGAGCACACAGCTCGCAGCCAGACTGCCTTGGTCCAGATTCCAGCTCCACAGCTTCCTACCTATGAGGTCTCAGCTATTACTCAACGTCTGTGTGCCTCGGTTTCCTCAGCTGTACAATGAGCACAAAACTAGTACCCATCGCAGGGGGCTGTTCTGAGGATTAATAAGCTGTCAAGTACTTAGGACAATGCTTGATGCGTGGTCGTGGATGTGTTACCTATTATTATTCATCTAGTCATTCCAGTTCTATGAACACATCCAAAGGAAATAATGCTAGAGATGCCCAAAGCCTCACAGGTGAAGAAGTTCATTTTAGGGTTAATGAGCAGAGCAAGAGACCAGAAATGACCCAAGTGGCCACTGGACGTGGACACTGCTAAACTGGCACAGCCACCCAGAAGATTCTACAGCACAGACATGCTTTTTTTAAAGTTAAAATGCCAAGCCATGTACTAGTATTTCATCTCAGTGACTTGGCCTACCAGGTTAGACAAAAAAGGTCATTAAGAAGATTAGTGACAGAGAAGCCCACCCATGACCAAGTGGCAAGCGAGCAAAGCAGAATAAAAATGACAGATGCCGGTGGTGGGGTCTGTAAAATACAGGCAAAGACCAGGAGACAGAACAGCCAGCAGCAGTGCAGACAGCCACTGCGTTAGGACAGCGAGACGAGGGCTGACTATTTTTCTGGTTTTCAAATGTGTTTTTCTAATTGTTACACCATTTTTCAATCATTAATAGTAACAGTTTTATTTCCAGGCATTCACCTCAGTTGGGCAACTTGCAATCAAATTCAGCATGCTTGGTTCACGTAAAATAGGAAGATTTTCTCTACAACTTAACTTAGTTGCCAGGGTTTAAAATGGGGAGATTTCACATAAAACATCTAAAGTATTGACTTAAGCCATTCAGAGAAAGATAAATGTCACATGATCTCACTCACGTGTGGAGTATAATGAACATTAACTGATGAACAAAAATAGATCCAGAGACAGAAGCATCGAACAGACCGTTGAACCTCAGAGGAAAGGTAGCGGGGGTGGGGGAGGGGGTGGTTAAGAGATCAACCTAAGGACTTGTATGCATGCATATGAGCATAACCAATGGACACAGACAGTCGGGGGGTGAGGGCCTGTGCTGGGGGGCAGGAGCAGGCGGGGAGAGGTCAATGGGGGAAAAGGGAGACATATATAGTACTTTCAACCATAAATAAATAAATAAAGTATTGGTTTATCTTGATAAATCAGAAGACCTGACCTGCTCTCTGGAGAGGCGAGGATGGCTGCCCCTGGGGAGCGGCTGCCCTTGAGGCAGGCGGTGTGCTCCCCCGTTTACCATGGTCCCCGCCACCCCGACATTCCGTTGACATGGGGCCAGGTCATTCTCATTACCAAAGCATCCGTCTTCAATACAAGTTTTTGCTATCAAGCTAATGCATTTTGCACAAAGCTCCATTTCCCGACAACTTTTCAAGACTTCATTTCTTGCTGAAAGTAATTTGCATTGGCCAAGAATTTTAAGTTAAAAAAATAATAAATTTGTCTCTAGATTTCCACAGAGCCCACAGTGCGGCCCCTCTCTGATCAGGAATTTTATACTGATAGTGGCCCCAGATAGCCCTCCCCCCCCAAAACAGAAAATTCACATCATTCCTCCTCCACAGGCTCACACTACATTTGAGATGAAACCAGAGGGAGGAGGAGCTGGGGGCTGAGGGTAAAATCTAGCCCTACCTGCAGGAAGTTACACTGCAGCCGGGCTGGGAATATGAGATGGTGTTCGCGCTGCAAGGTCAGTGAACGAGATGGAATTTATAAACACCACCCACTCAGCTGGTGAGCAAGAAACATTTGAAAGACTTTTAATTAGAAGCTGTGTGGCCCAAAGGTGATTCATCAAACCTCAGAATTTTAGCGAGGCACGGTCACATTTGGAAGGAATTCGATTAACCTCTTGCCTGAAACTAGATGTCATATTGTCAATCATTTTCTCCAAAAAAATTTTTTTTGGGCTAAATTTCCCAAAATGTTCCCTCACTCTATTATGACCAGGGGCAAGGGGACTGGGAAGGGGCAGGGGCGGGGGGGGGGGGGGGGGGTAGTGGAATGGACTCCATGTCAATCTAGCAACCAGGAGATAGTGTAAATTAAAGGTTGGCACTGTACCATAGAAGGATTGATTTCACTGGGATCCACATACATTCTGCTGACGTCATACAGGGAGTTTATATCTCTTTCCTGAAAAAGAACAGAGAGAAATAAATGGAACCATCCCTGCTCCTGGGACAGCCCAAGGACAGAGCAAGGGCTGCAGAGCCCTGTGCTTTCCTGCTCTCTCGCAGAAGAGGTGAAACCTCACAGTTTACTCATGCCTTGTGGGTAGAGACAGTTAAGACATCATAAAGAAGTTCCCCAAAACTTAGAAATTTTACCCCAAAATGAGAACGGCCCTATTCTGCCCTACTGTGTGCCAGGCCCTGTGCACCTTTGTAAAACACAAACCCTGAGTGTGCGGGAGCCCATTGTATTTCTCTTCCTGACTCGCATTCTGTGGTGGTCGCCGCTTGAAACTGGCCACCTTGGAAGTATGTACACCATGGAAATTGGCAAATGCCACAAACCGGGGCTTCCTTCCACAGAGAGCTGGTTATACGCTTACCGCACACACTGAAAACCTCCCCTCCCCTCCCCACTCTGCTTCTCTCATTGGCTTCCAGCCACATCGGCCACCTTTCTGTCCCTCATCACCTCCGGGCTTGTGGCGGCTGCTCCTCCACATGGAACCAGCTTCCTTCACAGCAACCATGGCCAATTCACTGCCTCTTCCAGCTTTCAGCTCACATTTTAATCCTCGCAGGAGGCCTCCTCTGACCTCCCCGCCCCAACCTAACGTAAGGCCCATCCCTATGCACCATCCTGTTGGATGTTCCTCCTTGTGACTCACACGGCCTGAGGCACCTTATTTCTGTGACTGCACGTTATCCAGCTCCCCTGCCTAGAACCTAAACTCCCTGAGGACAGCCACTGTACTCTCAGATGGAGGAGAGCTCCTGGCACGTGGGGGATGCACAATAAATCTCGTAAGTTAATGAATGCACCTGATAGGAACTGGGACCGCTAATCAGATCAGGTCTCTTCTCTACTCAGAACCCTCCAATGGCTCAGAATAGAAGCCAGTGTCTTACCACGGCCCTACACCACACAGGGCCTATTAATCCCCATCTCATTAAGTTCTACCCCCACCCTGGCTTTCTCTCTGCACCTCCAGGGACGTCCTCACCTCAGCACCTTTGCACTTGCGGCTCTTCCTCCACGTAACTGCATGACTCACTCCCTCAGCCCTGCTAACTAACGTCTGCTCACGCGTCTCCTTCTCAGGGAGATCTTCCCAGACCACCTTTGAGAACTGCAACCCTTCCACGTCACCCTGAATCCACTTATCCACCTGCCGGGTTTTGTTTTTCTCCACAGCACGTATCACCGTCCCGCAACGCTCTGTATATATTTTTAATTTATCTCATCTATTATCCGTCTCCCCCACACTAGGCTACAGGCAGCACGAGGGCAGGCAGGGTCTTTGTGCGCTGTGTCCAATTTTGTATCCCCGGGACGAGAGCAGCATCAGACACAAGGTAAGTGCTCCATAAAAGGTTTGCTGAATGAATGAACAGATGAGTTCTAACCTCAGGCAAGATATTCCACCGAGTGACAAGCGAGTCAACCGCCTACCATGTTGTAGCGCTCCAGGAGCTCGGGCGTCACGGGGTAGCGCAGCTTCATCTTCCGGTAGAGCGCGTGCTTCTCGTAGTAGCTGACGAGCTCCACCAGACTCTCGAAGTAGGCGGAGGTCCCCAGCACGAAGTGCCGGCCGTCACGGTTGATGCGACAGTGCTTCACCTTGCCCCGGGCCCTGGGGGGAACCACACGGGGCTGACGCGCCGAGACTGTGGCAGCCAGACAACTGCTGTACAAGCTACAGTCCCCACCTCTTAGAAACAAACTACTTACCCGTTCTTAGGGGACCACATTATCAGGGTGTAACGTGCCTATGAATACAATGATGTGGATCTTTTCTAGCTCCTCTCGCCAGTCCCCTGCTCCCCAACTACAGGACTTGACTTTGGGAACATCCAGATCAGGGTTGGCAAACTATGACCCACAGGCCACATCTGGCCCACCTCCTGTTTTTGTAAATAAAGTTTTATTGAAACACGACCGCATTCATTTGCTTATGAATTGCCTGTGGCAATACCATGGCAATGTGGAATAGTTGCAACAGAGACCATATGGCCTGAAAGGCCTAGAATATTTGTTTCTGGTCCTTTACAGAAAATGTTTGCCAGTCGCCACTCTTGAACTCTGGGACTTCCTGCTCCAATCCTGAAATCTTACCCCAAAATTCCCCATCTGGTGCAACAATGGCTCCCCCGCTCCCGCCCCCCCAAAAAAGGAAACAAGTCTTTTATTTCCTCACTCACCCATTTGAAACAAGATACAGAAAAAAAAAAGAAAAATACCCAAACCACAACAGACGCCTCGACCTTACTCCTCAGCTTTTATCAGCAAGAATAGACACATTTGGGAAAATAGGTATTGACCTTAACTTTACAGCCAAGAGCATCTTTTTATTAAAACTGTCTACCAGCACAGTTACTATGGGAGAACTACTCATCTTTTTAAAAATGTTGCACCTTAGAGACATTTTTTATGGATTTAAAACACACATCCTGTGTAAGCCATTTCTTCAGAAAGCCTGTAAAAAAATGCTAGAAGACTTCTGCTTCAGTCACTTATTTGCAGTGATATTTTAATAATTTCTTTAAAAAAAGATATACTGCTGAGTAGAAATACAAGTTGCAGAATAAAACCATAGTACGACCCCATTTGTATTTTTAAAAAGTAGAACAGACTGACCACACACAACACGGCACTATAGATTTCCCACACGTGTACCACATATGTGTGTACATGTTTTTTTCTAGATCAGCGGTTCTCAACCTGTGAGTCATGACCCCTTTGGTGGTTGAACGACCCTTTTACAGGGGTCGCCTAAGACCATCCTGCATATCAGATATTTACATTACGATTCATAACAGTAGCAACATTACAGTTATGAAGTAGCAACGAAAATAATTTTGGGTCACAACATGAGGAACTGTATTTAAAGGGCCAGAAGGTTGAGAACCACTGGTCTAGATGGAGATATCAGTTAGAAACCTGCGCTCTCCACCAGGACAAGGATGGAGGTGAGCAGGACTACAAGGGACTTTCACCCTCACTGCAAATGTCTTAACTTTTTTATGAGGAGGACACATATTTATACAATTAAAGATTAATGTTAAAGCCTTTTACAAAGCCCTGTGGGGCAGGGAGGCGCTGGGATGTCAAGGGCGTGGGTCAGGTTGGGTTCCTCACCAGGAGCTGGGGGTTCGCAGCTCCCGTCTCCCGCAGCGTCAGGGCTGCTGTCTGTCAGGTCCCCAGGGGTAAGCCCGTTGCAGTGTGTCCCGCACCAGGAGGGTGCTCAATAAATGAATGGTTAGGGAACTATAACCACGGTCAAGCCCACAGGAGCCGCCTGGGCCAGAGCAGGAGACGGGGACAGGGCTGGAGGGGAGCTTTAATTTCAGGCGCCTGCCCTGGAGGGAGCTGCCACAAGTTCGCGGTCACCACAACCTGAGGTCTCAGCTTCGCCAAGAAACTCCTCGTCCCACCAGGGGGTGCCTCCCACCCTGCAGCCCAGACAACAACGTCCTCTCTTCACAAGGATTTGAAAGCCGATGCTTCTCTGCTGTGGATGGAAATCCATCCAGAAGTTTAGTGCATACGCTCAAGGGGCCAGGACAGCGCCTGGCACGGGAGAGGTGCTCACCAACATAAGCGGGCCTGTGTGCTCCTCTGCCTGGAGCACGTCCCCACCCCCACCCCCCACCCCCGTAACGCCTATTCCTCATCACCCTGCCTGACCTCTCTCTGTGGCACATATCACACACGTCTGTCTATGTGACTATCTCCCAGGGGCAGAGGTTCTTAAAGAGGGACAGTGATGCCCACCTCACACCCTGACCAGAACAAGTATGAAAAAGTGTGTGTTCAGGGAAAAAGGTGTCCTTTCTGACTGTGACAATGACTGAGGGCCCCCAACTGGCACGCAGTGGGTGGAGGCCAGGTGTTCACCATCCCACTCGAAGGGAACGGCCTTTCCACACAAATGGTTAAAAGCCAAGAAACTTGAGAGTAATGAGACGTCTTCATCCCCACCAGACCACGGGCTGTCACTCCTGTATTTCTGGAGCCCAGCACAGGGACTAGCCCATAGCAGGTGCTCCCTGAACATTTACTGATGCCTAAAAATAAAAAAAACTGACTTTCAGGGTGCCTCCAGTCTCATGGGAGGACAAACATGCAAACAGAATGGTGGACGTACATAAATCAAGCATCATCTGGGGACCCCACCCCCCCGCCTCATCTTCATCTACACGGTTCCAGTAAAGCGACCCCAACCCCACTGCCAGCTCAAAGGTGCCCGATCAGAATCACGGCACCCAGCTCAAGCAAGGGCCAGAGAGGAAGTACATCACAGGACTCGTCCTTTCTGCTGCACACTGTCCTGGCGCCCCAAGGCACCGCCACCTGGGGATGAAGCCACGGCGAGGAGCAGCATGACACACAGAGACCTGAGGACTGACAGGAGGGGCCTGCACCCAGGCCTGTTGGAGCATCTCAGCTGGAAGCCAACAACTCCCACCTATTTTGGTTGTTTCAGTCACTGCGTTTGGTTCTGTCCCTTTACCCAACAGCATCGACAGACTGACAGGACTACAACATGACCCCCAACGCCCAGCATGGTGGCTGGTGCAGATGTTCAGTGAAACCAGCCCACTTCCCATCCAGGCAGAGGGGCACCGCCAAGAGCAAAGGGCAAAGACCATGCCAAGTAGCCCAGGGCCTCCCTATTGGCAGCACAAACCACAAAAAAGCCATGTGGGCCAGAGCCAGCACATAGTAGGTCCTCAGTATCAGCAGGGATAATGACAATCACACACCCCCCCTCCCCCCCAGGAATAACTGGGACAGGGTAACCAAGGAGGAGCAGCCTGGGCATACCAGGGCCCCTAATGTCAGCAGGTAACCACCATTACCACACAGGCACATGGGCCCAGAGCTGTCACCTCCCATTTTTCCTAAGAAGCAATCTGAACTTTCAAGTGCAATTTCTCAGTTTTTAACATCACCATGCAGACTGAGCAAAACAGCAGCAGGCCCAATCTGACCCGCGTCTGAAATTCTGGCTCAGCCAGGACTAGGCTGTGTGGCTCTAGACAGCCCACTCTACCTCTCTGAGCCTCCGTGTCCTTACTTGCAGTAACTGGATCTACCCCTCATTGCTACAGTGAAGGACTCAACCAGATGAAGATTCAAAGAAGCTCGGTGTCTGGACATTAGCTAGGAACTCATACAGCAGCCAGCCTTCTATCAGCATCATTAAGCCTCCACTGGGGCTGGGAGGACAGATGAAGAACTGGATCTGAACCTCACCTCCTTGCCATTGGTGGAAGCTGGAGGAATCGGGTGTCAGGGGTTGGAATTAAAGTAGAGAACCACAGTCCTAGAGATGGCTGGTCTCCATGGCCTTCCCACTGGCAGTGTTGGGGGGCAAGTGACGCTGGGAGGAAATCAGATCTATGACATCACTGACCCGGGCTGCCAGGGATGCCTGGGTTCGAATCCCAGCCCTACCACTTACTGGCGGCATGCTTCAGCAAGTTACTTAACCTGCCTGTGCCTCAGTTTCCTCCTCTGAAAAAATAACCATCATGGTCCCAGATCATTACGAATACAGACCAGTGCCCAGCACAGTGAAAGCACATACTAACGTAGGCGGCGTGTGTCATTATTATTGCCATCATTACGGTAAACCCTTGGGGAGAGAACACTGAGCGAAACCTGCAGTCCCCCCTCTGTTCTCCACACTGGCCCTCCCGAGCCTCCTCCGGAGAGCAGGCTGCAGGCTCCACCCTGTGCTCACCTGAAGGTGATGGCGTAGGAGTCGCTACCTTCCCGCTTCCGGATGAGGAAGGCGCCGTCCCGGGGAACCCTCATCAGCATGTCCTCCGCTTCTCCGCGGCTCAGCCCGTCGTAGTACCACCTGCAGCAGAGGCCGGGAAACCGCCAAGTGAGAGGGCCATCCACGAGGGAGTGCGGGTGGGGGCGGGGGTTTGAGGACGCCTGAAATATGGCCCCGGGAACCACTGGGGAAAGGAGAGGGCCTCCCATCCAACACCCTCCGCAAATAGCATTCTTAAAAGACTATTGACATAGCCTGGGGGAAACGTCCATGTGGTGGGTCTGTCTGAAGCACAAGACAATAAATCAACCAAACTTGACCCCTGCTCTGCCCAGCTCTGGAGGGCAGAGATGGCACAGGAAATCGGAGGCAGGGAACACAGGGAATCGCGTTTCCAACAGGTTCCTTCGTGTAGTTGGTCTTTGGTTACTTTTAAAGATGTGAAATAACAAATTTTAAAAGGCAATCCGTATGAATATAGATGAGACGTCAACAATAAAGTTGCTGTGAGTTACATGGCTTTCTGAGAAATGTGCACTTTAACAACCTCCTGCTTAAAAAATGTGTTTTTTTGTTTTGTTTCCAAAATTGGTTAAACCTTTGAAAGGCATAACTGATATTCACTGTATCAGTAAACAAATGAAGGGGAAACCTTTACCATTATTTTTTCCTTGTTTGCTTTCAGAACAAACAGGAATGATCTATGACAATAGAAAGACATCTCCGGGCCAAAATTAAGCTCTTAAAACCGAGGCCCGGGGATTCAGGGCTCTGAAGGTAAAGCAGAAGGAAGGGAGAAGCAAGGGAGAAGAAATGGGGCAAAAGCAAGGGGGAGCGGACATTTGGAAATGGTGGCCACCGCGGGAACTTGAAGAGACCCTGAGGAATTTGGGCCCACACACCCCAAGACTGGCCTTTCTGATTGGTGGACACAATCTGCAGGGGTGTCTGCCCCCACTAAACCCATGGATGTGCTGCCCGAGATCACGGGCTCACATACGGCTTTGATTCATGGGGGTTGGGGTTGGGCACGGGGTCGGTGAGTCGGAGCTCGAACTCGGCGCAGCGCAGGTGCGTCTCGCGGTAGTGCTGGATGAGGGCGTAGATGCTGGTGAACATGAGGTTGTCAGTCAGGTAGTACTTCATGGTCCCGCCCTCCATGGTGGAGCGGATCCGGCAGTGCTGGACCCGGCCGGACCGCCTGTGTGGGCAGAGGGACAACAACATCAGTGTCCAGGCCGGCCAGCTGGCCTTTCTGCACCCTGGGTGTCAGACAACACAGGCGGGGGCCAGACTGAAGCCAGGGGTGGACACTAGGTGTGGCCACACAGGGTTCCCTCTGCTCTTAGAATAGACCCCAGGCTTCCAGAACATTCTCTCTCCCTCCTCCACCCCTGCCCCCTTTTACCTACATAACTCCTACTCTGCAGCAAGAGGACCTAGGTTCAAATCCTGACTCTGTCACGTGACCTGTCCTCTCTGAGCCTCTGTATTATCATCTTAGTGGTCACACAGGGATAATAACAGTATCGGCCTCACAGAGTTGTCCTGAGGATTAAATGAGATCCCACACAAAATGTGCCTGGAATGCTGCCTGGCACATGGTAAGAATGTGTGCGCTATCAGGATTTTGTGTTTGTTATTATAGTTTTTATTAGAGGCCCGATGCACAAAATTTGTGCACAGGAGGGTCCCTAGGCCTGGCTGTCAATCAGGGCCCATCTGTAGGGCAACTGGCAGGGAGATCGGGGGTCCCCCACTGGCACCCGCCTTGGCCAGCCTGGTGCCACCCACTCTCCTGCCTGCCCCCTGCCGCCACCGCCTGTTGCCTCCCTCTGCAGAGCAACCAGCTGGCCTGGAGCTTGGGGCCTGCAGGCTGGGGGCAGCTCCTGCATTAAGCGTCTTCCCCCTGGTGGTCAGTGAGTGTCATAGCAACCAGTTGTTCTGTAGGTCATTCCACTGTTCAGTCAATTTGCATATTAGGCTTTCATTATATAGGATTCTTCAGGTCTCCATTTAAACACCACTTCTTTCAGGGAGTCTTCCCTGACTACCTCCCCCCCTCCCCCAATATTACATTAGATCCCTCTCTAACAGACTTTCATAACATCTTGCATTTTTCTCATTGCACAACTACAATTATGTATCATTTGCATGATTACTTTTTCATTGTCATCTTCCCCACTAGACTAATCACCATTAGGACAGAGACCCTGTCTGTCTGATCACTGCCTAATCAAAGTGCCCACCACAGAGCAAGCACTTGATAAATATCTTTTCATGAATGAGGCATAGATGAATGAGTGAAAGAATGAATGAGAAAACTCATAAAAAGCTCCAAAAGGCTGCTTTCAGAATCTCTATTTTAGAGACAAGAAGAGGGAGAATCCAGGAGATTGAGAGAAGTGCTCAAGGTTATATCACCTGATCCAGGGTTGGGATTAGGGGAAGATGAATGAGGTCACATTGTCTTATGTTGATATTTTGTTCATCATGATTTTTTTAAAATACATTTTTATTGATTTCAGAGAGGAAGAGAGAGGGAGAAAGAGAGATAGAAACATTAAAGATGAGAGAGAATCATCGATTGGCTGCCTCCTACACTCCCCACACTGGGGACCAAGCCCACAACCCGGGCATGTGCCCTGACCCAGAATCAAACCGCGACCTCCTGATTCATAGGTCGACGCTCAACCACTGAGCCACGCTGACTGGGCCATCGTGATTTTTTTGCGTTACTTTTTAATTTTTTAAACACTGCACTGAAATATCACTAATCTGTTTACTAAGTTTTTAGGCCTCACCCACCTCACCCAGTCCTGCCCCACATAGCTCACTAAATGAGGTCTGGGGTTCCGGTCCAGGCCTGCCCGAGTCTGGCCTGCGTTCCCACTACCTGCCACCGAGCCCCCCTCTGGCCAGCTGCGAGCCGGCGGCACGCCCTGGGAAGAGGCCATTACCAGAAGGACAGGGTGTAGTCGTTGGGGAATGTCTCACTCTCCCGCACCAGGAAGGTCCCGTCCTTGCCCCCCGTCTCTGAGCAGTATTCCTGCAACAGCTTCTCAGCACTTGTCCTCTTCTCCACCTTCTTGTGGAACCACTTCTCTCCAAAATGCAGCTCTGTGGGGGGCGTGTCCTGGGCCACAAAGAGAGGAGGGGTTTCTGAAAACCTGGACCAGGCCCCAGCATCTCCAGACTGGCCCCCCTTCGCATCCTGACTCGGGGGACTGGAAACAGGCAGAGGCCTCAGCTAGCCCGCACCCCGAGGCCTGCAAAGACAGTTTCCACTGCCCTCCCCTGCCTGCTAACCTAGTCCAGACAGCCCCCATCTGTGGGAGCCTCCTGGAGTCCTGAGACAAGGGGAGAGCATTCCCCAGTGCAGCCCTCAGACTATTGCAAAGGAAGTCTGAGAGCAAAAATACCTGGGAGCTCAAGAAACAGTACCAAAGGCGGCCAGCAGCCTGAGGGGAGAGGGCAGGAAAGCTGGGGACAAGGCCAGGGGATGGGGTTGGACAAAATATCCAAATGACCTCATCCTCTGGAGGGAGCACATGCCATTCGGGCTCTTCAAAGAGCAGGAAAGACCCTTGAACCTCATTGGTGAAGTCCCTGGGCCAGCCAGCCAATCAGAGAGGAGCCAGAGAGGCTTTGGTACCCAAAGAGGCAGCTCCTTAGGCTAAGGACGTCCAGGCCTGATGGCTGCGGGAATAGAGGAGCCCTCTGGGAGGTCTCCACCTACCTGGGGCAGTTCCTCTTCCACAGTCTGCTCAATGTCGTCGCTGAAGGACAGCTTGGCATCGGCAATGGCGCAGTAGTGCCGAGTCCATTTCTAGAAAGTAAAACCAGCATTAGCTCCTCCCCAAAGTCTCTACCCTATCGATTCCGGGGCCCAGAGCCCTGCCTGGCATCATCATCCCAGCATTCCCTGGGGGCTAGCCTTTCCCACATTCATAGACATTCATGGTGGTTTCACAAAATCTGATCTCCTTTGAGACATTTCTTTGAAAGCATCTATTTATTTTGGATTTCTTTTGGCATTTTCAGAACCTTTTCTATTCAGTATATACAAGGGTAGATATGACTTAATATCAAATTTCTATTTCATTTGAAGCCTTTGTGAATGGTGGCATTGATTTTTATGTCCTCCTGACTGTCTTTTCCTATTTCATTCACTTTTTAAGGATTTCTCTGCCAGCTTGTTTAGAGAACCTTTCTCCAACATTTAATTGTGACTTAATTCTTTATTTAAATTTTAGCCATTTTTACTGTTTATTTCTAGGATATTAAGAATAGTCGTGTAAAAATGGATTTGCATGTTAGATTAAAGGATATAAGAAGTGGTGTTAGCACTCAAAATGCCTTATTCTCATCAAAAAATAAGGTTACCAGCCTGACCGGCATGGCTCAGTGATTGAGGGTCGTCCTATGAACCAGAAGGTTCAATTCCCAGTCAGGGCACATGCTGGTGTTGTGGGCTCAATCCCCAGTGCGGGGCGTGCAGGAAGCAGCCAGTCAATGATTCTCTCTCATCATTGATGTTTCTATCTCTCCCTCCCTCTCCCTTCCTCTCTGAAATCAATAAAAATATATTTTTTAAAAAAAGGTTGCCAGTGGGAGCGTCTCAGATTGGAAGGTACTGAGGAGTTAGGCCCACTAAATGCCCGAACTGGTCCTTGGACCAGAAAAAGGACGCTAGCAGACATTGGTGATGCTGAAGTAAGGCTCATGAGTTAGTAGTGCTGTGCCAATGGTAACTTCCCGGTTATAAAATTACGCTCTAATTATGTAGGGTATTAGTCTCTGGGGAATCTGGGTGAAGGCTATATTCATTGTGTGTGTGTGTGTGTGTGTGTGTGTGTGTGTGAGGGGGAGGGGGTGTAAATATATAGTAAATTATATTGAATACAAAGTTATTTCAAAATAAAATATAAAAGGAAAAGGAAAGTTTCATTACAATGATAAATTCATTGCGGTCAGAATGGGAGTCAGACAGGGGTATCCCCCGAGCCCTCCAGCAGGCCTTAGACACACTCAAGGCCTGAGAAGGGGTGCGAAAGGCTCACCAGGTCGATGGGGTCCCACATGTACAGCTCCCCCTGCTGCTTGTGCTCATCTTTCTTGTCCTCCATGTTGACATCCACGTCACCTCGGGGGCCCAGCTTCTTGTGCTGAGGGGGGAAAATACAGAGAGCCCGTCTCCCTGGAGGCCCAGGTGTAGGAGGTTGGAGCCAGCAAGCATCCGTCTGCAGCGCCACACCTCAGGGCCTTTGCACGGTCTGTCCTCTCCGCCTGGCTCCTCTCCCTGCATTCAGCTCTGGGCTCGGTGTCCCCTCCTCAGAGGAGCTTTCCTCGACTCCTTGATCTGAAAATAGCCCACACTTCCCTTCCCACCCCTTCATTCTCTAGCCCCTGGTAGTTATTGTTCATACCCTTAGTCCTATGTGTTTCTATGTACCTATCTGCTTGTCTTCTATCTTCTTTGCTGGACTATAAGTCCCATGAGGACCATTAAAATGGGCCATATTAGAAGTGGATAAAAGGTCCCTGGGACTTGGCTTCGTTCCCTGTTGAATCTCCTGGGCTGGCTCGGCAGAGAGGAAGCGGGCGATGCACATTCGGTGAGTCGATGATACTGACATTCCCCAGCGCACAGAGGGGAGGCAGGATCACAGCCAGACAGGGGCGCAGGCTGTGCGGGACGGCGGAAGGCACACTGAGGAGGCAGAGGAAGAGGACCTGGTGCCAACAGCACTGCTGCTACCTTATCAGCTGTGTGACCCGGGGCAGGTGGCCACACTTCTCTGAGCCTCACGTTCTCATCTGTGAGACGAACATGGTGACAATACGCTCGCCTGTGTGAATCCTGACCACCCACCTAGACACGCACTTGAAAAGCTCAGGGTGCGGTGACCTGGTGAAGAGAGTGCAGGATTGGGTTTGAAGTCAAGGCCTGTCACCTTCCTAGCCGTGTGACCTTGGCAACATGACAATCTCTCTGTCTCGATAACCTCCTCTATGAACTGGGTGTCATGACACCCTGCAGGATCCTCTTAGCCAAGAGACATGTATGATGCCTGCAAACAGCAAAGCATGGCAGAAGTGTTCCGTTTTGAACAGCCTTGAATTGTTTCTTTGGCAGGAACTCTGTACCCTCAGCTGAGTGAGTCATTTCACCTCTAGACCTCAGTGTCCACATCTATAAGTGGGGCCTGAGGGCCTGGGCAAATCTCCCAGGGTTATGGTGAGATACAATTAAAAAAAAAAAATACTTACACCCATCCCTAGCCTGGTACCAGTGTGTGGCACACACTAGTTGTGTCACAAATGCTACTTCCACCCCCTTTCCCTGAAATGGGAAGGATGAGCCATGAAGTACCACAGATGAGACAATGGGTGCTCTAGAACAAGAACTGAAAATCACTGGGGACAGAGAGCTGTCCTACTGGAAACAGAGGTAGAGGTAGCGACAAATGAGCTGGGAACAGAGAAATGCAATGAGGCCCCTGAAGACTCACTGACCCCATGCCTGAGACGCTGTGGGCCCTGCCTGGCTTCGCCCCCTCCACCTCTAGTCCTGCCTCCCCTCTGTGGATGGGTACGTCTCCCCAGTAGACGGTGACCTCCTGGCCCATAGGGATTGTTCCCAGTGTATCTTGGTGACTCAGGGACAAAATCTACCTAGTGAGCACCTATCCATCCTTCCATATCAGCCCACTAGTTGCCAATGAACTCCATCTCGTTCCTTCCACTGCTGGCTGCCCACCCCGAGACTGCATATCCCAGGCTCCCAACAGGTGGCAAGATCCTGTGACTAAGTTCTCGCGCACCAAACAGGACGGACTGGGACGTGTACAACTGACATACACACATTTATGGGAAATCGTTGGTCCCGGACCCCTTCATGTTCCCCTTCCTGTGGGCCAGAGCTGGACCACCCACACCAGGACGGCGCCCTCCAACAGAGCCTGTGCCACATGTGCCCCGGACGCCCACTGAAGTCTGACCCCAATCTCAGAATAATGTTTATAATGCATGAGATTATAAGAGAAACTAATTATACTGAAATGTAGTTCTTAGGACGTTAAATAAAAAATATCTGCAATGGCCTAAAGATGTGTTATCTTTACTAATGGCTTGCATACAATCTAGAGGCAGGCTAATAACTACCATCATCTGCAAGTGGGGACCAGCACAGCGTTATTCTGAGAGGCCTGCAGGAACTGCACATGTGATATAAAATTAACCATGATTTCTGCAGGTGACAAAGCCCCACCTGGCTTGTTGCCAATGTTCATAATGGAGGGAGATGCTAAGTTTTACTTGCAGGTTAATCAAAACAAAGAATATTTTTCCCCCCGAAGTTCACATGTCAACCGTCCTGAATTCTATCTGTGGATTCTCTGGAGGCCTGTGGAACCCCAGCTGAAAACCCCTTCCCTGGGGACTGTAGAACAGGACTCTGCGTCCATGGATTACCTTGTGGGCCAGAGCTCCAAGCTTCCAGAACACTCTCCCTCAGATGAAGAAGAAATAAATAAACTCAAGCGCTTTAAGCCTCTGTATACCTGGTCTCTTTATCCTAGTAATTCAAGTACCCAGATGCCACCCTGCCCCTGGCATCCCTGGCAGTCTTGGGCACAGCAATAACTCATTTCTCCCCGCAGTACTTGGCAGGCCCCCCATTAGTGCACGCAGCCTTTTGGGGGCAACTGTGCACCTCCAGTCCATCTCCCACACTGGACTGGGAGCTCCTGTGGGCAAGAACAGTGCCTGGGTCCCTGAACACCCCTGGCACCTTGCACGTGACTCAGAGAGGGGCATGGGGAAGGTTTGCCAAAAGAATGAATGACCGAGTTAATATTTACATGCGGGTAGCGCCCGCAAAGGCACAGGCGCAGCCCTAAGCGCCTGCAGGCATTCCTTCACATTATGCTCACAGCATGCCAGCCATGTGGGTTCTATTAGTATCCTCACCTGCTCCCAGACCAGCGAGAACACAGAGGCACCCAGAGGCTAAATGACCTTGTGAGGGTCACTGGGTAGTAAGGAGAGCCGTGTGAGCCGGGGCAGCGGGACCTGGAGCCTGGGCCCTGAGCCTCTGGCTCTCCCGAATGAGTGACAGCAGCCCGAGGCCGCCTACCTTGATGATGATCTTCTCCCGCAGCTGGCTGGGCGAGGGCAGCTGGTCAGCACTGGCCTCCGTGGGCTTCGTCAGCAGCAGGTCGCCAAACACCTCCTTGAACACTCTGGCCATGTAGCGCTGCTGCTCCACGCAACAGTGCTCCTCGATGGACAGGATCACGGGGAAGCTGCGGGCGGCAGGGGCCGGCCGGCTCAGCAAGGGGGCAGGCACCCCGCCTGGGCCTGCCTGGCAGAGCTGCTGGGGACCCCAACCTTGCCTGCCCAGCAGAGGGCAGGTGGGCTCAGGCAGGGGGAGCAGAGGTCACTGAACAGCCGCATGGTTTCCCAGCACCAGCCTCCTCCAGGTTCTGGAACCAGGGAGTGACTTGTGCTCTTGGCCTGCAGGGGGCGCCATCACTCGGCTGAGGACTCGGTAGTGACTTGGCTCGGGATGGAGCCCAGGCTGGTGTGTTTGTCGCTCTGTGTGTGTCTGTGTGTGGGCAGAGGGAGGGGTCTCTGTCTGCTCAACCTGTGCTTCCTTTCCCTTAAAAGTGAACCACCTGGAAGTCAGACAAACCGACCTTGAGGCGACAAAGGCGTGGTCTTTGATGGCCTGCACAACGTCATCAAACTTGATCTTGGTGGTCCGGGTCCAGCCGTGGTAGATGATGGGCTTCCCGTCGGGCCCGTCCCAGCAGTCCACTGTGGGGAGAAGCGGGCAGCCTCACCACCTGTCCATCACTCTCCACCTCACGAGCGCACTGACGGCGGACATGCGCCCGGCCAGCCACGAACTCAGCCCCGACCCCCACGCCAGCTCAGCTGCTGGAACATGGGGGCCAAACCTAATAATCACACTCAGCGGCCCCAACATGAGGACAGGTGTTACCTGTGCACATGTGTTACCTGTGCGGTGATGGGGAGATTTTGGTTGTTTAATTAAAGGCCCTTTTGTAATGCAATACATTTGTCCAAAAGAAGCTATTTGAAATGTTTCTCTTCGAAAAGGATATTTACATTGTGTTCTGTTTTCTGATGTTACTTGTCTAAACCTTGGCTTGCTTTTTCTGCTAGTGGAAAGAACATGCAGCAATGTGAAAATTCATCCTTAAAGGTTCGCAGTAAAATATTCAAACAGAACTAGATTGTGTAGAAGGTGAGCATCCTTATATCGTCATCCCTCAGAGGTAACCGGAGCTGACAGTTTCAAACTTAATTTTTTTACATTTGCTCTTTCCTGAGGGGGGAAAAGTATAAACTAGGCAACACGCTGTAGAAATAACTGCCGTTAGAGTTTCATACTATGATGAATTTATTTAAAATAAAATTGGAGCCTAAATCGGTGGTTTGTGTCTTTTCCCAGCCTAATACCCCTATGAGCCACTGGTGGTCAAGTCAGGCCAGGAATAAGAGGTGAGGAGGAGGGAGGAAGTGCTGGGTCCTGGGTGTGTGCAGGTGCTTGGAGTCACCTGTACTGGGGTGTCTGTGAGCAACCATGACAAGAACGGTCAGGATGGCATCCATGGCTGAGCCAGCTGAGGGGCAGGTGGGCTCAGCAAGAGGGAGCAGAAGTCACTGAACAGCCACATGGTTCCCCAGCACCAGCCTCCTCCAGGCTCTGGACCCAGAGAGCGACTTGGGCTCTTGGCCTGTAGGGGGCGCCAATGAGCTGAGGAAGTACTTGTTGGCAGTGACAATTGGCTTCAATTCTCAGTAGGTGTTATCTCCACCAGGAAAGGGCTACTCACACTCAATGCAGCGACAGCCCATGCGCAGACAGCGGATATACGCCTCCGGGGACGACTCACTCCGCAGCTGGTCACCTGTGAGGTACCTGAAGGAGAGGAGGCGGGCCTGCACCTCAGGGTGTCCTTGGGGAACTTCTCAGCCCAAGCTCCCAAAGGCCTGAGTTCTTCCTGTCTAGAAAGACCCGCGGTTAGGATCTGGGCCAGACACTTGCCATTGTGTGGCCTCGCCTTAGACTCAGGCAATGATCACAAGATGTGAGCAATAACCACCTTGGTGATCCAAGTGTGGGGTCAAGACCATGTGTTCTTTTGGGAACTGGGTCAAAGGGTGTCAGGAGTGAGATTAATGGTGGCTGATAAATTAACAACCCTCCCTTGGCTACCCACTGACCCTCAATCTAAAGGGGGCAGAGATGGGCCAGCATTTTGATATCAAGGAGCCAGCCATGAAGAGGTAGGTGGCCAACAACTATAGGTGGAATTTACTACGCTATGAACTCTGTCCACCAGACGTAAAAATACATATTTTTATGCACTTTCCCCCTCACCATGTTCCCCCTTTGAAGAGTTTATGTTCCTTAAATGTCTTCTGGGTTTGGTAGAATTCACCATGCTAAGACACAACTCTTAGATCAATGGACATGGTGGGGAAGAGAGAACTATTAAATCAATCAGCCCCTGAGCCAGACTGTACCTCCCAGAGTGCCTGGAGATAAGCAAACTCCTGCCTGGAATGACACTTGAAAAACCACAAAGCTACAGCTCTTCGGGTGCCCAGGATCCAAGGCCTGCACCCTCCCACCTTATAAGGCAGACTAATAGTGAAACTTGAGTGCAACATCATTTCTCTCTTCCCGTCTATTTTCTTTTTTGCAATCAAGGCAATCTTCCAAAGATGTAAATTTGAGCATGTTGCTCTCTGGCTTAAAAGCCACCAGGGGTCCCCACTGCCCCCCACCCCCTGCTGCCACTTAAAGATTCCACTCAACCCGTAACAGACCCCTCTCAGTCCCTCCTGCCCCTGGACCTTTGCACACGCTACGCCTCTGTCTAAAACCACCTTCCTCTCCTCACCACCTGTTCTCTCACCAACTTCTTTCCTTTGTTAAGACTCAAAAGAGGTCTTTTCCCCTCCAAGCACATGACAGCAGTGCTGCTCTGTCCTACCCTGCTCACTGCTATATCCCCAGTACCCAGCAAGCACAGGGTAGACAGTAAATATCAGTGCAATGACTAATTCAGTTGCTTTGCTGTGGCTACTAAGAGTTGTCCAAACCGTGCAAACCAGCTTTGCTGATTGGCTTCTTAGGGCCACTGAAAAAGGATGATCCTTGCAATGCCAACTGGGAAAGAGGGGAGCATTCCCCCACCCCTTCCAGAAGCGTCTGTTTATTCCAGTCTGAGCAGCGTGTCCCTGCGCTCTACCTGCACGCTTTGCCAAAGCGGCGCACTGGAACGTCTGCTGTATCGCCCTTCATGGGCAACCCATCCCAGGCTGGTGGCAAAACTCACGTGTTATGTGACGAGGAGATCCAGTAATGAGACAAGGGGTTGTTCATGTCCTGCATGTCCACCACGTCATACTTCTCATCCCAAATGCTGTTCTCCCGTGAAAACAGGTACGTGAGGAACTAGGTACCACAAACACAAAGAGCGGATCATCACGATGGAAGATGAGGAGGGTGCTATCTGGTTCTTTCTGGTCTGACCCGCACGGGGAAGCGGTAGCTCTGACACGTTAACTGCAGATAGTCTCCAGGCCGTCTGACCCATGTTTCCACGCAGAGACTCACAGAGCCACAGGCTGTACTGACGCATGTGCCACTGACCTACACAATGCTTTCCTTATTAATGTGGACCCTAAAATATTTGTTACTAAGAGTATATGCTTCCTATATATAATAAGTTTTAAAGAGTAATAATACCATAAACATTTGTGAACCCGCCAACTTGATAAACAAAACATTAACATTGCATCACAACATTCAAAAGGCAAGCAATGTCATATGCCAATGCTTGACCCTTTTAAAAAAAAATCAGAAAACTGAGTGACACTGGGGTAACACTCTGCTTCCTGGGAACAACCTTACAGATAACAGGAGCTCCTAGTTCTCCCTCAGTCTTACCCACGCTGCTGCCTCACTCAGGGCCTAGTGCAACCATTTCAACAGCTCACAGGAACCCCAAAACCTTTGAATTTGGTGTGTTTACAATGCGCTCCTGGGCAATAGACGCCCTCTAGTGGCCAAAACAAGAAACGCACCCAGAAACGCACCTTGTCAATAGACAAGGAGTAAAAGGAAAGACTGAGGAAAACCAGCCCCTGAGGAACAGCTCATAAGGAGCCCACTCACCTCATCAACAAACAAGAAGGGCTCCGCAGTTTCCCTCATCGTGTCGTCGATAAACTTTGTCATCCTCTCCCGGACCTTGTTCACATCCTGAGCCCAAAGTTCCTTAGAACGACAAAGAAAACAAGACATCACCAAAAGGTGCGATGTCAGACCATGAGGGCGACTTGCCAGGCTGACCCCAGCAAGGCGCATACTCTGTCAGCTCCTCTGCACCCATTACGACTCAGTGATGGCGAACCTCTGACATGCGTGACACGCAAACTCATTTTTTTGGTTGATTTTTCTTTGTTCAATGGCATTTAAATATATAAAATAAATATCAAAAATATAAGTCTTTGTTTTACTATGGTTGCAAAGATCAAAAAATTTCTATATGTGACACGGCACCAGAGTTAAGTTAGGGTTTTTCAAAATGCTGACACGCCGAGCTCAAAAGGTTCGCCATCACTGCATTACGTGGAGTGGTAATATCCTTGCACAGAGTTTCCGTGAGGATGAATACTATAAAGTAATTTTATTGTGTTCCTCTCCAAAGCCTAACCCCTCAAGTATTCATCAGCACAGGGAGGAAACAGGACCCACACACTCAACTTTGACTGATGCTTTCCAGGCTACGCGTATTCTAAAGCCTCTATTGGTAAGAATAATGAAAGCAAATGTGCTGTCAGATGTACGTGCGGTTGAGTGAGAAGGGTCGGGCCAGGATGTCTGAAAGAGAGAAGAGCTGAAGGACAGACACAAATGAGGTGGCGGAGAAATGGCCCCCCTGGCAATGTGGGTGCACATCAACAATGAGCCTTGCTGTTGATTCTTGCAAATCTACTTGGATAAGGGATACAAAGCAGCTGGGCAGCTGGGGAGCAGCCACCCCAGCCGCCAGTTCGTTTGAATACAGAAGTGCTAAAATCTTTGAATATTAAAACATGAGACTCAAATTGTAGGATCCTTTATGCAAAGGTCGTGCCAGGTCTCGATGTCCCCCCAAGGCCAGAAGCTTCCTCCTTCCTTCTACAAAGCTTCCTCATCAACCCCAGGAGATACTTACTATTCTCCTCATCCTATAAATGGGGAAACTGAGATATCGAGTCATTAAAGAACTTGACCCCAATGTTGAACTTGAGACCAACTCAGGCACATCAGTTTTGGGGTCTTCCTCTTCACCCCCTTTCTATAGTGTGGCCCACCCCTCCCACAGCTGGACTGGGGCATAGTTAACTGGTCCCTTCAAGGAAATTTAGATTAGTTCCAAGTTTTCATTTCTGCTGAAAACGTTGCTGTTGTTGCTTTAGGGTAAGTTCCTAGGAGGGCAATTATTTAATCAAAGTATATTAACCTTTTTTCAAAGTTTTCATGTTAACTGCATATTGCCAAAGCACTTTCTAGAAAACTTGTACTAGTTTACACACCAAGTGCTATAGTGACTACTTCACATGTGCACATCCATCACACCAAACAGATGTCCTCAGTGACTGTCTCTGCTTCATGCCGTCACCCCACAGAGCACCAGTACACGGGACATTAAGGGTCAGCCAGCTGATGGCTCAGGGTCCCCATCTCTGTCATCATGCCTGGCACTCCTATCACACTCACACAGATGCTCAGGGGCTGTCTTGTGTGTGAAGAGCTGCAGCCTGTAACCCTGATCTCCAAGGACAGCGCAGCGAAGGGGCTGGGGGTGGCGGGAGGTGGGGGCTGGAGGGGATGAGGATGGGGAGAGCTTGTCATTCTCCCCTATAATAAAATTAAGCAGCACTGGGTGGTGAATTCTGGGATGTAAGGCCACTTGTCCCCAGGAGGTTAGCCATGTACCTGCTGACAAGGAGAAAATTCTGAGCTGTAACAGCCAACTGGAGGGTGGAAGGAAGGGACAAAACAGGTTAATCCGTTAAATGCAGGGCAAAACCAACAAAAGACTGTGTGCCATCCTGCGTGCATGTTGGAACGGTGAATACACCTCCAGGTGGCCATTCCCACCATAACCTAAAGAGGACAGCCAGGTGCCGCCGACCACCAGGCGCCGCCTCTCCTTTGCAAATGAACTTTCTGACTGCTTCCCACCACCAATCCAAGGAGCATTCACTTCCTCTTTTCAGACTCTGCCCTTGCCCCACCCCCTTTATCTACAGCCAATGTGCCTTCTTTCTAAGCAACTTACACCTTTCTTCCCGGCACTGTTTTCCCAGACGAGCCCCTCGGCTCCAGGACAGCGAGCACCGTCTTCCCCACCAGCCCTGCCGGCTGCACAGGCTGCGTGCCCCAGGCCCTGGCCCTTTTCTGGCTGGCGTTGGGCTCAATAAACCCTTTCTTTCAGAAAAGCCTTTGATCATGAATATATGTGTGTAACACGTCACTAGCTCCCTACAAAAGTGAGTAATTGGCCTGGCAAGTGTGACTCAGTGGCTGGGAGGTGACCTATGAACCAGAAGGTCACGGTTCAATTTCCGGTCAGGGTTCATGCCCAGGTTGCTGGCTCGATCCCCAGCAGGGGGCATGCAGGAGGCAGCCGGTCAGTGATTCTCTCTCATCACTGATGTTTCTTTTATCTCTCCCTCCTTCTCCCTTCCTCTCTGAAATCAATAAAAATATCGTTATGCCTTAGCTGGTTTGGCTCACTGGTTAAAGCACTGGCCTGCAGACTGAAGGGTCATGGGTTTGATTCCAGTCAAGGGCACATACCTAGGTTTCAGGCAAGATCCCCAGCCCCAGCCCATCAGGATATGTGCAGGAGACAACTAATTGATGTACCTATCTCACATCGATGTTTCTCTCTGACTCTACCCCTCCTTCCACTCTCTAAAAAGTAATGGAAAGCATGGTGAGGACTAACAACAACAAATACACACACACACACACACACACACACACATCTATAATAATAAAAGTGTAATATGCTAATTAGACCGGATGTCCTTCCAGACCACCTTCCGGATGAAGCTGGGGCTGTGAGGGAAGCCGGTGCCGGCAGCCAGGGGAAGGAAGGCCTACTCTTGCACGAATTTTGTGCATTGGGCCTCTAATATATGTGTGTGTGTGTGTGTGTGTGTGTGTGTGTGTGTAAGTAATTCAGTGCAAGGAAGAGCATGGTGGGAAAGAAATAAACCATACACCTCTCTCTCTGCTTCACTGCAGTGGCAGCTCAGTACTGAGGGTGTAATTGTGCCAAAGGGAACTCACTTATCCCCCTTCCTTTTACTTTTCCTTGGTGGTAGCTCAGGCTGAGCAAATAAGCCCTCTTGATCACTCGCACTCAACCCCCACATGGAAAAAGCATGACACCTCAATGTCCTCGGTCACCATTCATCACGTTACAGTAGCGACAGCCATTGCCTGGGCCCTACGTGTGGCTGCCCTGTGCAAGTGTGTCTGTTCACTGTTTTCTCTACAATCAGAGAAATCTTTACACGGGCTGTGTATTGGATGACTGAGAAATTAGAGTTGCATGTGCAAGGTACAATAGCAGTGTTATGATTATGCTTTTTAAAAAAAGAAGTCCACTTCATGAGAGAGGCAAGCTGATGATTTACAAGTGAAATGACACACTGTCTTAATGATACACTGCAGTTTACTTTAGAATTTTCCGGGCCACGAAAAGAAGGGGAAGGAGAGGGAGACAGGGGTGTGAGGTGGAGGACAGATGTAATAAAATGGGCACATGTTCATAAATGATGAATCGGAGTGCTGGGCACATGGTGGCTCTATGCCAGCTTGGCTATTTTTGCACATGTTTAAAACATTTTGCAATACAAAGATTTTTTAAAATATAAATGAACTGAGTATCATTATGAACCTAAAACTACTCTAAAAAAGTAGTCTATCAGAAAACAAAAAATTAAATAGAGAAAATGTAAATGAGACTCCAGTGACATAAATAAAACACTGATATGTGATTATGCATGTGGATGTATATACACAGAGATCAACACCATCTTCTCTGACCCCCACAATCCTGAGAGGCGGGACTCTCACCCCCATTAAAAAACTAGGGTACAGAAAGGCCAGACTGCTGCCCAAGGCCGCACAGCTAGTGCGAGGAGCTCGGCTCTCTCTTGGCCTGAGTCAGTGTCTCAGCTGCGCCCTATTAGCACTTGGGGCCAGGTCATTCCTCGCTGCGGGAGGGCTGACCTGTGCGCGTGAGGCTGTTGAGCAGCATCTCTGGTCTCTACCAACCACATGCCATTAGCACCCCCAGTTGTGGCCACCAAAGCTGTCTCCAGGCATCCCCCTGGGGGCAGAGCCGCCCAGTGGAAAAGAACTGCCCCCCACAAAACTCGCACTACCCCCCACAAAACTCACGGCCCCTGCCACCAGCCTGGAGCCTGGACATTAACACTCCAGGAGACTTCTTCCTACGTGTCATCCGTTTGAGGACAACTGTGCTCACATATGCCCCCGGGGACCTCGCAGGCTCACCGCCTTAGTCACATCCTCCATCGGACAGAGAAGGCTTCCTGGGGAAGGGAACCTAAGCTGAGCCAGGAGCCGGAGGGGAAGCCAGCCAGGGGAGGCGCACCTGCCTATAGGCCTCAGCCTGCCTGTCCACAGAGAAAAAGTCTCCCTCTTTCCTGTCCTCAATTTGCGCCTTGAAAAGGAGCTAATTGTGGGGCTGTCCTCATTCCAGAGGCTAAGACAGCAAAGCAAAGAGGCACTGGGCAGGGAGACTAAACTGTTCCTGACCACAGGTGGCCAGATGAAGACCCAGGGCAGGTGGGTGAGATGGTGAGAAACCATCCAGGAAGCTCCCCACAGCCCCCCTTGCACCCTTCTGTTCTCTCACCTGCTGTTCATGTAAGAGAAACCGCTGGAAGTCATGCAGGTGAACTGCGGAGGCATCCGGCCGGTCAGTACTGCTGCCCTCGGGGAAAGAGAGGGTGTTTAGAGAAGGACACACATCAGCAGTCAAGAGGCCATTCCTGCCAGCAGGTGGCCTGCCACCCAGACACCCTGGCAAGACCCTCCTCTGTGCCAGGGGCAGGCTTGTCAGCAGGAAGACAAAGGTGGCCTAGATGACATTCCTGACCTCTAACAACTGGAGGGCCCTGGAACCTGCATTTAGCTGCTCCTAGGTGGTTCCAGTGCTGAGGAAGGAGGGGGGGGAGGGAAGGAGAGCACGGATATGTGTGTGCCCAGCAAATACGTGGGTAGATTGGGTGTGAACAGACTTTAAGGGGAGCTGGAGCCACATCAAAGCGTCTCCTTAGAAGCCCCAATGCGGAGTGTGCTGAGCCAGGGGCTCCGAAGCAGGACTAGGGGCCGGATGACGCCCCCTGGACTCTGGGCGGGTGGCGAGCATCAGCGGGAACATGCAGGACCTGGCCATGGAGCAAGCAGAGGCCCGCTGTTGGAGAATTTTCCATTTGGGATGAGGGAACACTTCACCCTGAATAAAGGGGACGCCACCTCGGCCAGCAGCTTGATGACCGATGGCCTTGGGGAGAGGCTGCTCATGGCTATCAAAACGCTGCCCCCCCCCCCCCCCCCGACCGGCACAGGCAACCTGGTTCCTACGGAAGTGCATCCTGCAGAACAGCTGCCCGGCGAGATTCGTACTGGTCCCTGAGCACTTGCCAGTGGAGGGGGAGGGGGGGGGGGGCTTTTCAAAATATAGGAGAAAAACATGCCTTAGGCTTCTCCCTGTACTGAACACTCGGGGTCCACAAGTCTATTGTCTTTCATTACAAGTGCTCTTCTACTCATCTATGCGAACAAGCCTCCTACGATTGCTTCACAGCTTTTCCTTAATTCACTAGTCTTTTCATTAAAATATGACATAAACGTCAGGTTTGGTTTTTATACACTCTGAAGTCTTGGGGTTTCTGGTTTAGAAAGTGACAGAGGGAATCAGTGCCAGAGTGTCTGCACCAATGAGGGTGGTCCCTAAAAAGCAGGTCCAAAGCATGTTCTAGGCCAATGATGGCGAACCTTTTGAGCTCGGCATGTCAGCATTTTGAAAAACCCTAACTTAACTCTGGTGCCGTGTCACATATAGAAATTTTTTGATCTTTGCAACCATAGTAAAACAAAGACTTATATTTTTGATATTTATTTTATATATTTAAATGCCATTTAACAAAGAAAAATCAACCAAAAAAATGAGTTCGCGTGTCACCTCTGACATGTCATAGGTTTGCCATCACTGCTCTAGGTGCTGTTAACTCCATGGGATACCTTTCTCCCCGGGCAGACGGGCTTGGGGAACACAGAACACTTTCTAAATCCCCGACTTAGGACACCGGTACCGCAGCGAAGGTCCTGACAAGTCCCGCAGCACTTACTTTTTCATAACATCATTATTACTATACACAGGTCCTTGCCACACACCACGTGAAGCACTTTACATACTTCCACTCTTTCATTCAGTTAAACCTGCTTACCCAGAAATTTTCCAAACTCACTTGGTACTAACAATGTTTTAATTTGTATAAAAAAAAAACACACAAAACCTCTCCACCTGTCATGTTCTATAAAGCACACCCCAAGAAAGGAGGTCCTAAAGCATGCAGGCTTCTCACAGAGCCTTTGGGCCACCCCACCCACCCACCACTCCACAAACTCTGTTGCTACTGTTCCTGTGCATCCATGCCACAGGGTCGGCATGCCCAATCCCCGGATAGGCGGACCCCCGCCCCCAGGGCCCACCCACAGGGGCGACCCTCCCAGAGCCGCTAGCTGGACTGGGAGGACCCCCAAGGGCACCAATCACCGGCTCAGCCACCCTGAACAACCATAACCCAGAAGAGGTGCCTCACCCCAGGATGAACACGGAGGAATCTTTTTTGAATTCGTCAAGAATCTGAAATGGAAAACACACACAAAACAAGGACAGTCGACAAGTGAAGCCACTAAATGCAAATGGTCAGATTTGGGGGGTTAAAAATTAACTCCATCATTTGTGTGACTTGTTAATGCAAATGAATAGACTTTTTTTTTTTCTATGAAATTATCATTGTAATCTGAGCGACTTGTAAATAGTCAAATACAACCAGAATGTATGAAGCAAAAGGCAGAAGTCCTGACCTCTGTCATCATCTTATTCCTGAGAATCAATCACTCTTAATGATTTTGTAGGCTTCCTTCTAGAATTTATGTTATGGATATTAGTCTAATTATATCTAATCATAATATATTACATCAAGTCTCCCAACTTTCTGCTGCTATTTCAAGCTTTAAATATGATTCTACCTACAACCTCAAATAGTCCAGCCTCATTACTTTGAAAACCCACATTGCATTCCATAACATGTGTATCAATTTTCTGCTACTATATCCAGTCTTATAAAGAAGGTCCTCGTACATATCTTTGCCCACGTGCACCAGTGTTTCTGTTGGGTAGAAAAACACTTGGACATGGGGTGTGCACATGAACCTCAGTAGATTCCATCAACTGGCTCTCCAAACAGCTGTCCCAACCGACACCCCCACCAGTGAACACACCAACTTTCCTACACCCTCACTGCTACATTTCAAGTCCTTAAAATTTCAGAGTATTCTATTAAAATATTTAAGGAAAGATTTATACAAAAATCCTATAAGAAGGAAGTGGGTAAAGGCATGGATGACATAAAATGGCCATGAATTGATTGATCATTGCTGAAGCTGGCTGATGGCTATATGAGGGTTTGCGATACTAGTATCCCTGCTTGTATGTGTTGGACATTTCCCTTATTCAAAGTTTAAAAACTTAAAATCAGGAGAACTCAAACCCTAGTTCAGCTTACTAGCTGTATGACCTCCAGCAAGTAACCTCTCTGACCCTCAGTTTGTTCATCTGTAAAATGGGATAACAGTATCTCTCTCACAGGGTTGTGAGAAGCATTAAATGCATGTAAAACACTTAGCACAGCAGCCAGCATAGAGTTCACACTTAGAAAATGTTAGCTATGATCTGTGGTCATAATCCTGTTATTATAGCCAGGTTAGAGGTATAGCCCCTCATCAGGGGGACACACATGAAATTACAAGTCTTATCTTCCTGCTGCTGTCAAACTTTTGGAAGCTCTGAAGCTTGAAAGCAGCAGCATAAGCAGGTGGGTAGATACACAGAAGAACTGACAACCTCAAGTTGGAAACCTACAGCTACTGATGAGCAAGAACCCACTCCCTGGATTTGGGTCTGGGGGGGGGGTATCAATCACCATAAAAAGCCCTGTCTCCCCAAGGAGCCCAAGAAATCCAGGGGAGCCCCTAAGAGCACCACTAATCCTTTTCTCTGTCCTGCTCCCAGGGAGAGCTCAGGAAGTAAGTTCTATGCTAACAGGGGAGGGGCAATTACCTACCACAAATGCACTGCAGTTTCCCAAGTCAGCCAGCAACTATCTAGAGAGCTTGGGGCTTTGTTATTCAAATTCCAAGTCACTGAATTAATATATGCACTCGCCAAACTGGACAGTAATACCATCCAATAGTGGAGACCAGAGTTTGCCAACCCAGAAAGTCTTCAGGGCCAGGTAGGCAACAGAGATTAGCAGAAAGCTGGCTGCGGGTGAGGGCGGGGGCAACCAGGGAATGCATGCCTCCTTTCTACTCAGAGGTCAGCACTGGAACGCAGGACCTGTAGATAGCCAGATCTCAATGTATTTCGAGAGAAGCTAAAAATCTGGAGCTTAATATGAAATCCCCCAAGTTTTAAATGTAGGCAATTCATTTCAAAAACATTTAGAACCATTAGGCCAAGTACAGCTGAATGCATGCATGCTGAATGTGGCGCTGTGGCCGCCAAAGGCAACCGCTATACAGGCGTCTTTCCCCCAAAACTGGGCAATCTAGGGAACCCCCAGGGGATCTGAGGACTCCAATTTCTCCCTCTCAAACACACACATTAATTAGCCTTAGAAAGACCCATACCAGAAGGTGCAGGTTGAAATACCTCTCGTGTGGAATTTTATCACCATGGAGACTATCCAGGGGTTAACCTGTGCTGGCAGCCCAAGTAGCTGTTTTGAAAACCTTATTCTCAAGCTTTGCCTGCCATCTGTCCCCTGAGACAGCATCCTGAAATTTCAAGGCAACTGATTACAAACACTGTTCTTTGCAATCACTTATCTTGAATGAATCAAGCTTTGTTCTCAGTCCTGGTCAATTGCCTGAGACAGCAGTCGTCATTATTCTGGATTTCGAAGGTACACTGCCATCGAAACACCTTCATCGCTCTCAAGCACTGACTATAAATAAAGCTTACGGATTTTAACCTAAGAAGTGTTTGGATCAGCTTTTGTGCAATAGATTTCTTTTTATTAAGGTTCCATATTAAAAGGGGGAGGGGAGTACATAGTTTTAAAATTTTTATAACCAGTAACCTGACTTAATACCTTCATTTTATGGAGGATGCTTGAGTGAGGAGGAAAAAGATGGCTTCCCCCAAACCACTTGGTCAGTTAGAGGTCAAGTTGGGGCTGGAATCTGGGTCTTTCAACTCCTAATACCTATAATCTTTCCACTCTTTTTGGCAAAACAAGAACTAATCCTTATATATGTGTGTGTGGGGGGGGGGGGGGGAGGGGGGGAGGAGTAAACACAGTGCACCAGAAGTTTTTACTCTATAAAATAATGTATTTCTGCCCAATCTAGACACACAGGAAATGCTTCTCCCATTTCCCTTCCTTGGAGACATCCAAAATCTCATGGTCATTGGTCACCTATCAAGGGGCCTCACCCTGTGGCCGACCTGCCAGCCTGCATGTAAAAGGTGATTAAAACTGTCTTCTAGCCCTAGCTGGCTTTGCTCAGTGGATAGAGAACTGGCCTGTGGACTGAAGGGTCCCGGGTTCGATGCCGGTCAAGGGCACATGCCCAGGTTGTGGGCTCGATCCCCAGTGGAGGGCATACGGGAGGCAGCCAATCAATGATTCTCTCTCATCATTGATGTTTCTATCTCTCTCTCCCTCTCCCTTCCTTTCTGAAATAAAAATATATATTTTTTTAAAAAACTGTCTTCTAGCGACTTTCACACTCATCACTTAAAAATGACTGCACACTCCACACCCAACCCCTCATTTCGTCCTCCTCAGAGCCCTGTGGTGCAGGCTCACCACCCCCATCACACGGATGAGAAGACTGAGGCTGGGAGTGGTCAGTGGCTGGCCCAAGATCACACAGCTGATTGGAGAGACCAGATAATCCACTGGCTCCAACTCCCACCTACTCTCTGCTCCCTCTCAGCTCTGCTTTGAACCCACCTTTGCCACCTGCAAAGCCCGCTGCCAACAGTAACAGCAGCAGCTCCTGTTTGTGGCATGCATGCCACCCACCAAGCACTGTGTTCTGTGCATTGCACGCTTTTTAAGCTTTATACTTTCGGTGACTTTTTTTTTATTGCAAAAGTAACACACCAACTTGGAACAAGTCAAAGAAAACTGAGGTGTACAAAGAAAAAGGCAATTCTCTCTCCTACCCGTCTTTCCAAACTCCTCCAGAACACACACAATAATCAACATTAAATGTGAGGTGTGTATTCTTCCATACTTTCTCCTTGTTCATAAAAACACACAGAGATGCTATATAGGAGGGTCACTGTATTCTGTTTTGTTTTTACAAAAAATCGGACCCAACTCCTCACATGAATCTGCTGCTGGTTTCCTCACAAAATTTCATGAACATCCAGAAACACAAGGGACTCGGAAGGCTTCACCAGCTGCACGATGCTGCACAGCACAGCCGGACCACGGTTTACCAGCTGGGCCTCTACCGAGAGGCACCCAGATGGTGCCGGGTATTTTGCCCGAGTAAGTAACGCTACGATAAACAACCTGGTGACACATTCTTAGGTCCCAGTGCTTTCGTTTCTCTAAGACAGAGTCCCCAACATGCCATGTCAGGCCAAAATATATTTTAAGTTTAAATTAGCATACTATCTTAACCTTCTTTTTGGTCTTCGCTTTTGTTCGCTGAACCTAGTTCACAGGACCTTTTAATTTAATTTTAAAATAGCATATTATCTTAAATATATATTCTCATAAAAATGAATAAAAGTACAAAAAGAAGACACACACGCATAGTCCCTCAACCCCTAGATGGTTACTATTAATAATTTGATAAATTTCCTCCCCAATGAGATAATACAGTTAGAATTGGTGAATTTTTTACTTTAATAGATTCAGATTACATTCCAGTCGGAGGTACAGCCACTCATATTCCCACCAAGAAGGTATGCGAACCAATTCCCCACACTTTCCCCAAAGAACTACCACCTTTAAAAACATCTGCCAGTATAACCGGTGAAAATGGTATGTCACTGTCATCCCCACTTTCCATTTCTGCGACTAGAAAGGAGACGTCTCTGGTTTTCCTAGGAACGTGCTGGACTTGGAAACACGGGGGAAACAGAAACATCATTCGATCATGTGCCCAAGCATCACCTTACCGATTTTTGCTGTTCAAACATAAGTTTTTTATAGAGGAGATGGAACTGTTCAAAGCTGAATTCATCTTTGTTTGCGCCTATTTCCTGTAAATAAAAAAATAAAAAATAAAAAAATGACCGCACAAGTGTTGGTGTCGACCACAAGAATGCCTCCTCCCTGATTACAGCAACAGAACACCTTTCTACAACACTGGCTAAAATCAACCCGCATTCCTCTGAACCCAAACTGTCCACAAGCTTCCTACTTAGCTGTCTGAAGAACACAGCCACCAGGGACCCCACCAGGTAAAATCCTTCCGTTGATCCCAAAAAGGGAAGAGTCTCTACCAGAATTCCACGAGCCATAATGAGAACTTCTCCTTTTGGGGGGCATCAAAGACATGTTTAAATCTAGACATATTTATAGGGTAGTTTTGTACAGGTCATTTTTTCAAAGCATAAGAAAACTAACCAAGCTTTTAGATTGCATGGAACTCAACTCCAGTCAAGGCTTAATGGCTTTGGGAAATTTACATAATGGCTTTGGGAAATTTACGTAACCCTTTCAGACCCTCAGTTTCTTCATCTGTAAAATGGGAGAACCAACATCACCCTCCTCAGACTTCCCTGAGACCGAACTAGATAACATCAAGTGAAGGCTTGATAGAGAACAAAATTCCAATTAAGTAGTAATCAATGGTAAATGCTTCTCCCATCTCTTTTCTCTCCTTTCAATCCCCACCCTTCTCCATTTTCATCTTTTTGAATTAGTTAGATTGTTTGGGGGGAAATCAAAAGGTGGCTTGATAAACCATAAAGTGGATTAACTCTTCCAGGAGCTCCCTGGTACAAAAACGAATGAGCTTCTGGGGCTGAGGAATCCATGATGGGGGCTGCTGTGGACACGGCCATGTGAGTCCTCCAACTGAGGGTTCTGGGGCGGAGTGCGGTTGGGCTCCTTGACAAGACTTGGTATCTCTCTGGGGCCAGACAGTGTGCCGCTACATCATCTCCATCATTACATCATTCGGAGAAACCCCACCTCGCCTCCCCTACCCCATCTCTCCTGGAGTGGCTTTCCCTGCCCCAAATCTACCAACAGCTTAGCTACACAAGAACATAAAGAAATTAAGTGATGAGTGTTAGGAGGAGTGGGTGGATGGCAGGGTGGGTGGGAGGAGAGGTTCGGAGGGGAAAGGTGGGTGGGAATACGGATAGGTGGGAAGTGAAGGGAAGGACAGAGAAGAACCAACTCTGACGACTACACTATCAAGACTTGCATACAAAATTCTACATCCCTGGCAACCTACATGAGAAGTCTTTCAAAATATTTTCCAAAACAAGCACATTTGTCCATATTACTAGAAGTGAAATGGACTGCAGGGTGGGGGAGGAAAGGAAAAGTTGGGCTGGTGAGTGTGTTTCAAATCAAGCACCTGCGTAAGCAGTCTTCATAGATGACGCCCTCTGCTAGAACTGAGAACATGGTCACCAAGATCTTCCCATGATTCCTTTGTCTGGACTAAGACAGGATCTGGGGTGAAGGACGTTCTTGGGCACCAGTCCACAGAGTTCACAGGCCCGACGTGGCTTCACATGAGAGGCACAAGTAGCCGTGAGTCACAAAATTATCAGGCTGAGCCATGAAACTTACCGCAAACTTATCCTTGAGGAACTTGGCACTGCTCACTTTGAAGTTGACCAGGGGCAAGATGGCCTTCAACTCTCGGAGGCTGATGCTGCAAAAGAGGGAAACCCAACGCCGTCAACCTTGAGGGGTTTCAACAGTGGAGGGTTTGGCTATTCCCATCAGCTACCGCCTCAGGTAGTCCTCCAGGAGAAGACCCTGCCGAGAGCTGTTAACTGAGCACGAGAGACCTGGATTCAAGGTTAGGGTGACACCTCGGTGCACAAGGCTTATCTCTACCCTTCACTGGAGGCCAGGGACATGGCCATGTAGGAGATACACAGTGTGAGCAGAACATGGTGTTAGATGACCTGATAACCTCTGCAGATATGAAATGTCACAAAGGTTCAAACTAAAGAGAGGTCACTATCAAACTATACTACAAAGCCATTATAACCAAAACAGCCTGATACTGGCACAAGAACAGGCATATAGACCAATGGATCAGAACAGAGAGCCCAGAAATTGACCCACACCATTACGGTAAATTAATATTTGACAATGGAGGCAAGAACATACAATGGAGTAAAGACCGTCTCTTCAACAAATTGTGCTGGGAAAACTGGACAGACACGTGCAAAAAGATGAAACTAGACCACCAACTTACACCATAGACAAGAATAAACTCAAGATGGATAAAAGTCTTAAATGTAAGGCATGAAACCATAAAAATCTTAGAGAAGAACATTGGCAGTAAAATCTCAGACATCTCACATAGCAATATGTTTATGGATACATCTTCTAGGGCAAAGGAAACCAAGGAGAAAATAAATAAATGGGACTACATCAAAATAAAAAGCTTCTGCACAGCAAAAGAAACCACCATAACCACCATCAAAATGAAGCGGGAACCCACTGTATGGGAGAGCATACTTGCCAATGACATGCCTGATAAGGGGTTAATAGCCAAAAATATAAAGTACTCATACAACTAAACAAAAGAAAGACAAACGATCCAATTTAAAAATGGGCAGCTCTAGGAACTTGCTGCTCTGAGGAGAGTCCCTGGACCAGAAGCATCAATAACAGCTGGGAATTTGTCAGAAAGGCAAATTCTTGGGTTCCAGCCAGAATGTCCAGTGAAGTAGAATGTCTGCAGGGGCGGCTGTGCACACCTGTGGCTAAAGACCCCCAGGTGGTCCCAAGGAGCCAAAGCCACAAATGTTAACCCCATGAAAGCTCTCAGCCTCCCCTCTGCCACTTCCAGGCTGAAGCACGAGTAGTGCACAGGGCATATACAGATCCAATCTATGTGCAAGGGGACAAGGGCAAAGGGGGTAAAAAATGTACCCAGGAGGCAATCTGCTACCAGCCCTTCAGGCTGCTGCCCCCTCAGTGGGACTCCAGCCCCTGTGAACCTCAAACTGAGGAATGCAATTCTAGAGACCCTCATAGAAGGTGCAGGGGTTTCCGCAAGGGGTGTTTTGACCAGAGAGATTTTCACCTTATGCACTGACCTTAGAATCTAATTCCCAGATAAGAGGCAACTGAACTCTAAAGGCTCATAAAGGGGAGGTCTCTGGAAATCTGGCCAAGATTATACTGTTAAAACCTTTAACCCATTTTCCCCAGGCCTGGAAATGTCATAATGAAAATGTCCAATACTAGAACATTCCATGTGCCGGATGTTATGTCTAGGAGTGAAAAAGGAGGAGTTTCGTTCATCCAACAAACACTATTAGAGTGGAACCAGCCAGATCCCTGACCTCAAGGAGCCCCAGCCAACATGAGCAGCAACAACAATGGGAAGACTTAACTAAAGCAGAACACTACCACCAACAGGGGACAGAGGGGTCATGGCATGAAGGCTGAAAATCCTACAGTGACCCCAAAAGTGCTTCTCCTGAGGGCCACATCATAAGTTCACTTGGAAGACCATTCTCTGACAGTAGGAACATGAAAAGCTAGACACAAACTAAATGACAAACACAGGGCAACTTTTTGAGCCAAATATCAAATACCTATTGGTTGATTTATAGCATAGACACTGACATAGTGTTTCTGAAGAGTTGCAATGAAATGTAAAAGTTCTTATAGTTTGACATGAGGTGAAAATAGTTTAATTCGTTTCTCCTTTAGTGAAAGCCAGACTTGATGAGTTATTCCCAAAGAATGGAAGGGGGACAACTTTACAAAGGAGAAATCTGGAAGATACCGCCTTGGCCAGGTGATCAAAGTTGACATCACCATTGATAAGCCATGTGGAGAGTATATTCCTCTTGATATGATGTGTTGAAAGATCTTTACTTCTGTGATAGTCTTCCCAAATACCCATCATCTCAGGCTATATAACTCCAGTCTAATTATGAAAAACATATCAGACTAATTGATGGACATTCTACAAAATACCTGAGACATGCTCCTCGAAACTATCAAGGTCATGAAAGACAAGAAAAGATTGAGCAAGTGCAGGCCAGAGGAGGCCAAGGGGACAGAACAACTAAGTACAGTGTGTGGTCCTGGGTTGGATCCCAGACCAGGAAAAGGATGTTGGTGGGACAGAAAAATGAACTCCAAAGAAGTCTAGAGTTCAATTAATAGTCACATATCAAAGACAGTTTCTCAGTTTTGACAATATACCAGCATAATGTATGATGTGAACATCAGGGAAAACTGGGCAGAGAGGAATATGAAAACTCTCTAAATATAAAATTATTCCAAAATTCAAAAGTTAATTAAAGAACAGGATATAAGATTAGGCATAGTTATATTTTAATAAGGAAACGTGAATAAGGAAGCAAATAAATGAAGTTGAGGGTGGAAGACATATACAAAAAAAATGTAGTTGAAGTTAACAGTGTTTACCATTTAATATCAAATTTATACAAGTTTTTTCTAGTTTCCAGAATTTCCAAAAATTTTTTCTATAATGAGCAGGAGTGACTTTCATCATTAAAAAAAATCCATATGCAGCTTGAGACCACATCAAAATACCACCAACCACCTCCACAAGAAACACATTCAATGGGCGGACTCTGCAGCACCAGAGCCCTGCTGAATGAAGTAAGTCCTGCTCTGTGGGGTGGCCCCCACACAGGTGACCCTCCATGGTGGTCAGTGGTCGCAGTCAGTCCTTGCAGCCAATCAGCCTGGGGGTAAATCCCTCCCACTGATGTGCCAACAACAATCAAGAGTCAACTACAACAGGAGGGGGTGCACAGCCCACAAAGGGTGGGGCGCATCTAGAGTGCCTAGCTTGGGTGATTGGAGAGGCTGTGTCACTGGACCCTACAGAACACCGACTGCATTGGCCACTCTACCAAGCCTAGGAGATGTAGCAGCTCTACCTAATACATAGAAACAAACACAGAGAGGCTGGCAAATGAAAAGACAAAGAAATATGTCCTAAAAGAAAGAACAGAACAACACTACAGAAAAAGAACTAAACAAAATGAAGACAAGCAATCTCCTAGATGTGGAGTTCAAAACACTGGTTATAAGGATGTTCAATGAACTTGGTGAGAATTCCAAGAGAATAAGAAAGGACATGTAAACCATTAAAAAAAAAAAAGTCAGAAATGAAGGATACATTAACTGAAATGAAGAATAATTTATAGGGAATCAACAGAAGAGCAGACGAAGCTGAGAATAAAGTCAGAGATTTGGAATATAAGGAAGCAAAAAATACCCAATCAGAACAGCAAAGAGAGAGAGAGAGAATCCAATAAAATGAAGATAGCATAAGGAGCCTCTGGGACAACTTCAAGTGTACCAACATTCACATCATAGGGGTGCTGGAAGGAGAAGAGAGAAAGCAAGAAATTGAAAACCTATTTTTAAAAATAATGACAGAAAAGTTACTTAACCTGGTGAAGGAAATAGACATAAGTAGTCCAAGAAGCACAGAGAGTCCCAAACAAAATGAGCCCAAAGAGTTCACACCATAATTAAAATGCAAAAGGTTAAGGACAAAGATAGAATCTTAAAAGCAGCAAGAGAAAAGCAGTTAGTTACCTACAAGGGAGCTCCCACAAGACTATCAGCTGATATCTCAACAGAAACCCAAGCAAGGCCCTACAACCAAAATTACTCTACCCAGCAAAGCTATCATTTACAACAGAAGAACATAAAGAGCTTCCCAGGCAAGAAAAAAGCTAAAGGAGTTCACCACCACCAAACCAATAACACATGAAATGTTAAAGGGTCTTCTTTAAGAAGGAAAAAAAAAAAGATTAAAAATATGAACAATAAAATGGCAATAAATACATATCAACATTTAATCTAAAAAGCAAAATAACCGAACAAGCAGAACAGAAACACTCACACATACAGACAACATTTTGATGGTTGCCAGATAAGAGAGGGGTTTGGGAGGATAGGTGAAAAAGGTGCAAGGATTAAGAAGTACAAGTTGATTGTTACAGAATAGTCATGAGATATAAAGTACAGCACAGGAAATATAGTCAATAATATTCTAATAACTATGTACGGTGTCAGATGGGTACGAGATTTACTGGGATGATCACTTAGTAAGTTATACAAATGTCTAATCACTGGGATGTACACCTGAAACTAATATAATATTGTAATTTTATTTTATGTATTTAAAAAGTAAAAATGATTTAAATTTTTGAAAAGATAAAGTACAAGAAGCACAGACACACAATGGAGCTTGAGAAAATTTAGAGAACATCTTAAACTACCAACCAATGAGTAACAGAAAGAGTGCAAAGAGTAACAAGGACCACCAGGCTGGATAAACACCCAGAAAGACATCAGGAGGACCTCATCGTCTTCTCTACATATCTAATGCCTACCCAAACTAAAATTCCCAGATCAAATTCCTCCTCAATTCTTAAAGATTTCCCAAAGCACTCAAACCCACATGTCATCACTTCCTTCTCCCGACTCTTAGAGAAATGTGTTGTCCTAAATTCATTTGGCACTGGGTTGTGCTATCTAGTAAACTTCGTTTTGCTACTGATTTTTTTAAAGTCCATGTGCATTTTTAAAACAGAAAACAATAAATGAAAGTGTAAACATGAAAACTAAAAGATTATGTAGAACCTAGCCCAGGGTCAGTGCTTGGAAGCTGAATGAGGATTAAAATCAAAATGTGAAATTTTTAAATGGGCAAAGGACTCAAGTAGACATTTCTCCGAAGAAGATGTACAAATGGTAAAAAGCATGTGAAAAGATGCTCGACATCACTAGTCATTAGGAATATGAACATCAAAACCCAAGATACTACTTCACAACCATTAGAATGACGATTAGAAAGAAATAAAATAAGAAGTGTAAGCAAGGCAGTCGGGAAAAAATGGAGCCCTTGTGTTGGTGGGCATGTAAAATGGTTATGGTTGCTATGGAAACAGCATGGCAATTTGTCATTTGATCCAGTAATTCCACTTCTGGGTAATGCACAAAAGAATCAGAAGCAGGAACTCAAACACCCATCTTCACAGCAACAATACTCACAATAGCCAACAGAGAGAAGTTAATTCAAGTACCTACCAACAGAGAAACAAATAAACAAAGTATGGAATATTATTCAGCCTTAAAAGGGGAAGAAATTCTGTCCTGGCTGGGTGGCTCAGTTGGTTCAAGCTTGTCCCATACACCAAAAGGTTTCGAGCTCGATCCCCAATCGGGGTGTATATGAGAGGCAACCAATCAGTGTTCCTCTCTCATCCATCTCTCTCTCTCTCTCTCTCTCTCTCTCTCTCTCTCTCTACCTCCCTCCCCTTTTTCCTCTCTCTCTCAAATCAATAGACATATGCTCGGGTGAGGATTAAAAAAAAAAAGGAAAGAAATTTTGATGTGCTACAACGCGAAGAAATCTTGAGTTGCTGAGTGAAACAAACCAGTCATAACAAGACAAAAAGTATTAGATTCCACTTATATTGAGATAACTAGAGTAATGGATTCATCGAGACAGAAGGCAGAATAGAAGTTAGCACAGGCTGGGAGGAGGAGGAACGGGGATTTATTGTCTAATAGGGACAGAGTTTCAGTGTTACAAGATGAAGAGTTCTGGAGACTGATGGTGGTGATAGTGCACAAAGTGAATGCCCTTAATCTTACGGAAGTATGCACCTGCTCAGATGGATTCTTGCGAGTCCTCCATAGAGACCTGTCTTTCTGGCAGCTGGCCCAGAACCCTAGCAGAGAGGAAGTCTGTGATAAATTTTATGTTCTGTATATATTACCACAATAAAACAGACTAAGTAATATGTTTTAGGTCAGCGTGGGGAAGGAAAGATGTTTGCCTGAAGAAGGAAAGGCAATGTCACGTACTGGTGGGTGAGCCTCAAACCCTGTGCCACACCTGACCAGGTGAGGTGCTGTAGACAAGTTCCTGAACGTGTCCTGGCCTCAGTGTCCTCATAAAGTGGACACAAGGGCCCCCCGTCCGAGAGCGCTCCGTCGGCATCCCCTCGGGATGGAAAGTGCTCAGCACCGTGGCCACTGCAAAGCAAGTTCTCCACAAGTGCCAGCTGCTGCCAGCTGGTCTCCAGCGATGCTGACAATGAAAGCAGGTGCCCACGCCAAGGAAAGCACCCAGAGGCTGGGCGCCCGCGCAGGGCCCACTCAGAGCCTGCCTCCTGCCCACTGAGTCTTTCCTTTGCTTCTGTGGCTCCTTTGTTTTCTTTCAGGAAACGCAATTAGTCGTGGGCGACAGGAAAGGAGGGGAAACTGGCAGAACAGAAGTCCGTGCCCTTTCAATGGCCCCTGGGTCAAGTCAAAGTTCCTTTTGAGAAACTCCCTCGGGGCCTCCCAGAACCACAGGAAAGGTGGGATTTTCCACACGCTGGCGGACAGGCGGCAGGGCTCTGCCACTGGGAGGGAGCGTGGGGAGAGGGAACAGAGGAATCGAGTCCAGAAACAGACTTCCTCTCCGCGGAAGGTTCTGGACCAGCGGATGGAAAGATGGATCTCTAAGGACTCGCAGGAAGGATCCACACTGAGCGAGAGAACCAGTTCCCAACAACAGATAAAGGAGATGTGGACTTGGGAACAAAACCAACAACCCCGTACCACCACCCCACGAGGGGAGGGCCCGGAGGCTCCACCTGCCACCCCTGTGCCAATCTCAACTATGAGTCACCCCTGAGCCACAGAGAAAGGAAGCCCTCCGAGGAGGCCAGTGTGTACTGAACCCTCCGACGAGGAACCCTTTGGTCCACCGCTGTGACCCCGGAGCAGGGCGCAGGGTGTGGGGCCAGAGTGACTGCTGAGTGAGCGGAGGAGGGAGAGACAGACGGACGGGGACACGGAGTGGGCTGCTGGCTGACCTGACAGTACTAAGCTTTTCAGCACTTCACGGTGACTGCTTCCACATCAGGCCGTCGGTGTGAGTAGAAAGAGCATGGAAGGACGCCCAGACTCTGGGTGACAGGGGACACTGGCCTGACACAGAGGTGCCTGGAGAGGGACACAGAGGTGCCCTGGAGAGGGGAGGACATTCAAGAACAAGAGGGAGGGAGCCACTGCCTCAGATATGACAGTGACATACCTTTTGTTTGTTGTTGTTGTTAATCCTCACCTGAGGATATTTTTCCATCGATTTTTAGAGAGAGTGGAAGGAGGGGGAGAGCCAGAGAGAGAGAGACATTGACGTGACCGCACGGGAATCGAGCCTACAACCGAGACACATGCCCTTGGCCAGAATCAAATCCTGGACCTTCCAGTCCGGGGGCCGATGCTCTATCCACTGAGCCAAAGCAGACAGGGCAATTGTGACATATCTTAATGGAGGGAAGGAAAAACATTTAAAATTTGAAAGAAAGAAAAAAGGCCTGATGTGAGGCTAAACATGAGACGATGATTATAATGTGATCATAGTGCCTAGCATGCTCAGTAAATGGTAGTTTTTATCATTACGTTATCAATAAAACTGGCTCATACCTAAGAAAAACTGGGCACGAGGGTGTCCAACCTCACCCATAAAGAAAGAAATGCAAATATAAGCACCTCACCCATCAGACTAACAACTGTCAGAGTCCAGGGTACGGGGCGGAGGACGCGGGAGCTCCCCTGCACCCCCTCTCTCAAAATGTCCTGCTCTGGGATGTCACCCTGCTCATGTCCTCCTCACCCGAGTTAACAGAAGATGTCTAGACCCACAGGTTTTCAGAGCAGCATTATTCCCAAAGGACCAGGGACAATGTGTGTCCATCAAGAAGGAAATCATTTCCCACCAGTGAGGAAATTACATTGCCTTCCCCCGAGGACAAACCATGTTTGTTACAGATGTGTCCGGCCTAGAGCATTGTGTGCCGACAGGGAACCACTCCAAGACGTACTGTTCAGTGAACAGGTCAAATCCACTGGAATGTATGTTATCACATCGCCGTCTCGTCTGCACAGCCCTTAGAACCATCGCCATTAGCCCAGTTTATTTCTGTATGGTCCATCCCTCCCACTGCAAAGTGAGGACAGGCGTTGTGCGATCCTGTTTCTCCCCAGGACACAAGTGCTCAGATGTGAAGGCCGAAATGATGAGGTCCAAAGGCTCCATGCAGAGAATTCGTCTCTGCAGATGGACTTGAATTTTCCACTGCAATGAGCTCCACCCCCAGCGCCTAGCACCGCGTCTGGAGCATCGTAGGTTAACTGTGACCTCATGAGGACCTTTCCCCAGCACAAATCGTGACCCACCCAACCCCCTTGAACATTTCAAGAAAGAATTAAAATCAGAGCGCACCACGATCTGGAGAAAACCGCCAAGATGTGAACAAATGTTACCTGTTTCTTCTGGTTTGATCCACCGAATAAATCTGCTTTCTCAGCCAACTGGAAAGAGAGTTGAGACACAGAGAGAGAAAGTTAGAAAACAGTACAAGTCTGAGTTCTATGGAGCAGGGACTAAGGACCCTGGGAAGGGTTTTCCAACTTTCTAACTTGGAAAGCAGCTTCTTCCTTGTGGTCAAAAAACCCTTACTGAGCCAAGAGGCCCCTTGGGCTGGTACAGGCTGGCGCTCCTTAATGGGTGAGTCCCTCCGATGATATCCATTAATCCCCAAAAAGCTGGTCAGAAAAGTGGTGAAATCGGAGGGCTTTGGTTTCCTGGGGGATGGACAATCCCAGTCAGACGTCCATGATGCTGGCCAGACACTCCTGGTGGCAGGTGGAAAATTCTTGACCTTGCATCTGACTGCCCTTTGAGTCAGCTAGTGCCTTCTTGAAGCCTTTAAGGAGGAAGCCCTCTGGTCCTCCCCTCAAACACAACACCAGTGCAGGTTTCTGTCATTTCAAAGCACTCCGCATGCCAACAGGTGAAGGCGAAGGCCAAGGCCCTGTACGGAGACAGCCTTTTCTGGGAGACACCAGAGGGTCCACAGCCGCTACGGGGCATCTACTGCACACGGGACGCTCAATGAACCTCCAAGATCAAACGTCTCCCTTTTCTTCCCTTCGCCCATGTTGGCTACAGGGAGCAGAATGGATGAGCGAGCGAAGACAGAGATAGACAGGCAAAGCCGATACCTCTCAATGATGGTGGGTGTGGACGCGCTCATCGCTTCTTGGTGTAAGATTTTCAAGCCAGAGAGCCACTTGGTTGCATCTTCCTTCGAGTCAGCTAGTGAGGTGAATGGGAACAGAAATGCTGTGTTACGCTCTGGGAAGACTGCTGCTTGGAGTCCTACTGACCCTGGCTCCCGCCTCCCAGCCCCATACAGATGGTGGGGGTGGGAGAAGCCTGTGCCCATTTGCAGTTGTGCAGCAGGGCACCAAGAAGACATCTCCTTCATACCTTCAAGGTTCTGACACCTGCTTTTGGTCTGAGATGAGGCCATGAGTCTATTACGAGCCTTCTATAGCAGAGGTGACAAGGAGGCATTTTTTAAAAAGAAGTTTTAGTATTTAACCCCATGCTAATGAATAGGACACAGGGCCTGGAATAATCTGTACCACAATCTTAAACAACCCTCAGCATTTCACCTGTTTCCAACCAAGGCCAGAGAGGAGGGTGGGAAGTAGGAGATGCTGATGCCCATGAGGGAAGCGAAAACAAGTGGTGGTTAAGAGCTTGGCATCATCGCCAAGTCCTACCGCACCACTTCAGGGCTGTGGGACATTCAGCTGGTTACTTAACCCCTCTGTGCCTCATTTCCTCATCAGTGAAATGGAATGAGCAATGAAAACACCTGATCTAGTCATTAAACATCTCCTAACCACCAGGTATCTTGTTGGTCCAGACAATATCAGGCCAACATTGCTGCTCTCACTCTTCCCGTGCTGATGAGGAGAAAACCAAGGCTCAGCAGGTTGAGAGACCTGTTCCAGAGCCAATAAAGGAGAAGCTGGGATGTGAATCGAAGTCTTGCCCATCTCTCTACCCAACCTTGAATTCCAGAGCTCTGGAAGAGGGACCCGGAGTGGGACAGACTGGTATCCTGGGCTCCAAGTCTTGCTTGGTTTTTCCCGTTCTCCTACCAAGAACAGCAGCCAGGCTCTGCCTGAAGTTGGGTTAAGTGGACACAGCTCTGAAGACACAGGGTCACCATCCCCTCTCTCCTGCCCCATCTCCACCACCCACCACACACCATCAATCAGACATACACTCATTATTCCCCAGACCCAGCTTGCTATTTCCCTACACCCTTATACAGGGTGGGGCAAAAGTAGGCTTACAGTTGTTCATATGGAAAATAATAATAAATAATAATACAAGATTAAACTGTTTCCCATACTCACAACTGTAAGCCTACTTTTGCCCCACCCTATAGATTCAATGCTTTCTCCTTCTTCTTTCCTCCCAGTTGCTCCTGATGCCTCAAAAGCCAGGTTAAAAGTCACCTCCCCCTCTGCAGAGCCTTCCCTGGAAACAGACACTCAATACCCCTCAGTCCACTGTATTGTGCTTGGACTATTGCTCTTATCCCAGGGCACTGTAAGCTCCTGTCCACACATGTCTCCCAAATACTATGAACTCCTTAAAGGCAGCAACTGTCTTACTCATCTCCAGAGCCCCACTGACTTCTAGCACAACCCAGTTCAAAGCACAGCTCAAAAGATGCCTGATGGGGGAAAAATGAATGACAAATTAAATCGGCAACAGCTATTCGACCCTATATGACATGTGCCTACCGCTGCTCAGCTTTCAAAGCTTCCCCCCACTTTGGTCAACTTTTTTTTTTTTCCTTCTAATGAATACATTTTAATAATAGGAAATACAAATAAAATTTCTCAACAGTTGCTTGTCTAAGCATGATTAAAATGAAAATGTTATTATAAAACATATTAAGTGAAATACATTTTATCAATAATGGTGCTCCCACTATCATTAATTGATTAATGTTCTCTTAAATACAGCTAATTTTGAATCCTTAGAAACCTCTATTTTTATTTTTCCCCCCTTTATTAAGATACTAGAGGACTGGTGCACAAAAATTTGTGCACTGGCAGGGGAGGGGAGGTGGAGGGGGGTGTCCCTTAGCCCCACTTGTGCCCTCTCACAGCCTGGGACCCCTCGGGAGATAACCATCTGCTGGCTTAGGCCCGCTCCCCACATAGCAGATGGCAGGCCCGATCTCTTGGTGCCTGCCCTGCCTCCCCGGGTCGTGCACACAGCTAGAAAGGGGCAGGGTTAGGATTCAACCCTGATGCCCCCTTAGTAGGAAGGCAGGTGTGAGCATCCTGCTTCTAGAGAATGCCCTAAGAAGGAAACTGAGGCACAGGGAGGCAGAAAAGCACCCGGACGTGCACCCACTTGCTAAGCTGAGTGTGCTGAGGACGAACTGGGTGCCATACAAGATGGTGAAGCAGCAGTCTTCCTTCTGGCGGACTGCCTTTGCACGCTCGAAATCCTTGGAGCTCTTCCCTGGGCGGATTTCCTTGATTTCCATGATATCCACTAAAAGAAAATGAACATGAACCAATTAGAAGCCGGACGGAGGTCACTCCCCCGAGGATGCAGCCACATGCCTCCATCCCAGAAACGTGGCCCGGCTCCTTCATTCCCCAGCCCCGCAGCCCTGCCCCAACTGCAGGATGATGTGCAAATAAATAAAATGCTTATTGTCTTAAGACACTAAGTATTGGCATAGTTCTATAGCAACAGATAACGGAGATAAGGAGGAATTCCACCGTGGCCCAGGGAGACCCCCTGCCCTGCCAGGGGATAACTGTGCACTGTTACATGGAGACAAACTCGACTGGTCCCTTCCTCCCCTCTTTTCTGTCAAAAAGCAACTTTTCCTGGGATGGACCCTTTCCATGTGCTTCTCATGAAGCGGATCCACTGCTCTCGACCTCCCACCACAATAAGCCAAAGACAGGTCCAAGGGTCCTGGAAATAACCGAAGTGCCCATCCCCGGCACAGTGATTAGTTCAGGGACGAGCACATGGCCCAAGTGAGGCCCATCAGAATCCTCCCGGGACTTATTTGGCCAGCGCTATTCATAAAATTTATCCCACTGCTGCCAGCTGGTAGAACATGAGGCTGGGGGAGCAGAGATGGTGTGGAAAGGAAAGATTGAGCCCTGATGTGCTCTTTGAAGCCCTGGGTCCCTTGCCACCATAAGAGTCCTGGTACCTACATCTCAGTGCTTGAGCTGAACAAAGAAACAGGAAAGAGAGGTATTCCTGGAGAAGAGAGGGGAGGGAAGGAGATCTCAGCTTTGAGGCAGGGTCAAGGAAGAAGGCAGATGAGGTCCAGAAGGTGAACGCAGCATCGGGGTTGGAATAGCAGGAAAGGTGCCTGGCCATTCGCAGGCAGCAACAGGAGTGTGGGTGCAGAGAATGAAATCATAGACGAGAGGATGGAATGAGCTACGTTTTCTGCTTTCTTACAGGATCTAGCTAGATTGAAAACACTAGCTAGATCCTGTAAGAGGGGACCAGAGTCATGAAGTAACGTGGAAAGAATTTAAATAAACAACATTTGTTCTGCATCCTGTGAGTGGTGGCAGTCACACAGATCCATACATGTGATAAAATTCCATGGCACTATACACCAACACACAAAACAAAACACGAGTGCGCGTAAAAATGGTGAAAGCCAACTGAGGTCTGTAGTATATTTCATAATATTGTTGAGTGTCAATTTCCTGGGTTTATAACTATAGTTATGAAAGACGTTACCAACAGGGGAAGCTGGATAAACGGTACACAGAAACTCTGTACTAGTTTTTCAATGCCTGCAGGAATCTAAAAGTGTTTCAAAATAAAAAGTTTTAAAAACCACTGATCAACTACAGGCGGCCCTATCCCTGGAAGGGGCGATGGTGTCTATAAACCTTGGGCAGGTAGAGGGGTGGAGGGTCCAATCCCCCTTCTTCACCCAACCCTGAAATCTGGGAGTCTTTTCTCTTTATCTTTAGTCCACTATACAAACAAGCAACAAAACACAGATCCTTTGTGTGTTCTGAAATGCATAACCTTCTAGAAGGAAATGGGCACTGCTGATGCTTTGGCAATTACCTAAAAACATGAAAGGTATTCACATTTATTCTCAGAAATTACTCACCCACCCAGCTGACGGCTAATCAAGAGTCTAGTGGCTTCAAGCAAATATTTTCTTTTCCTGTCTAATCTAACAACGATTACCTAACCAGTGTCTTTCCCCATAAAATATCTCTAAGAGGGAATCTTTGAATTAGCCTACTGTGAGTTTTTTTTTTTCTTTGCAGCAACATTATAATAAAAATTTGAATCTTGACCAGTGTGGCTCAATTGGTTGGGCATCATTCTGTGCAGAAGGTTGCCAGTTCGATTCCCGGTCAGGGCGCGTGCCCAGACTGTGTGCTTGATCCCTAGTTGGGGCTGTGTGCAGGAGGAGGCTGATCGATGTTCCCCTCTCACATTGATGCTTCTCTCCCTATGTCCTTTTCCTTTCCTCTCTCTATAAAAATACTTTTTTAAAAAAGCAGAAGAATTTATTAAGACCTTCCCTGACCACTCTAAAAAAAATTTGACAGATGTGACTAAAAAAAATTTTCAGATAATGTAACATTATTGTCCTCAGGCAATCACCAAGTCTTATCAATTCTACTTTCTAAATTGCTCTTGAATTTGTCAACTTCTATCCATTTCCAAGGCTAGCACCACTGTTATATCTTGCTTGGCCTACTGAAGGAGCCAGAAGTTACTCCCAGAACCATTTTTATGAAAGGCTCATGCCACTCCTGGGCTTCAACCTTCAATGGTGCCTCACAGCTGTTAGGACTAAGAACCAAGGCCCAGGGTTGACCCTGCATGCCCTCCCCTTCCATGCTCCTGCCAGCGGCTCAATCTCAGAACCTCCAGTGGGTCGCACCACAGACATCAGCACATGCTGTTGGTTCTGCTAGGAAAGCTCTTAGCCTGGTTAGCTCCGAATTCTCCCTTCCAGCCTCAGCCCACTCACCACCGAACTCACAGAAAGCCCTCCACCCCCTCCTACTATACAGACCAAGCCCCTGTCCCCCACCCCAGGACCAGAGGCAAGTGCTTCCTGGTGAGAACTGTGGAGTCAGTGCTCCTTCCCTGGATGGTGCTCCTTTCCTCACCGTGTGCCCTACCTCAGGCAGAGATGGTGGTATCCGGTGCAGCCTAGTAAGCAGTTGTTGACAGAGGAAGGGACAGAGGGAGATGGGGACACAGACAGGGACAGCACTAGAAATGGGGCAGAGGGAGAGGGAGACAGAGAGAGACAGACACACACAGATACGAACAAACACAATCAGAGACACCCACACAGGGCAAAAGAGGGACAGACACCAGAACGCACAGAGGACAAGCCACTCAGACAAGCAGAGAGATGCAAACACACACACACACACACACACACACACACACACACACACACACAAAGTCAGACGAGGGAAAGCAACACATGGGACAGAAAGACAATGAAATACAAGCAGCCACCTAACGATGCAAAAGGCCCTGATCTGTCATACACTGTCTTTCACTTCAGCAAATGCAAGCACCCTGTGGAGGCCAGCCCTGTCCCAGGTGAGGGCTGCAGGCATCCACCTTCCTCAGCCAGGACTGGTCTCCTCCATTATGTCATCCTGACCCTTTCTGTCTCCCCCCCCCATATGTACTGGCTTACTCATCATGCTTCTGAAAAGACTATGCTTCCTCCATTGAATTGCTTTTGCTCCTCTGTAAGCGGTCAGTTGACGATATTTGGGTGGGTCTATCTCTATGCTCTCTGTTCTGTTCCATTTCTATTTGCTCATTCTTTCGCTGATACCACAGTCTTGATAGCTATGGCTTTACAGTAAGCCTCGCAGTGGGGTAGCATCCGTCCTCTGGCTTTGTTCTTCGCTATTGTGCTGGCTCTCTGTGGGCCTTTTGCCTCGCCACATAAACTTTAGGGTCAGTTTATCAATAGCCACACAATAGCTTGCTGGACTTTTTATTGAGATTGTGTTGAATCTGTAGATCAAGTTGGGAAGAACTGACATATTGAAAATTCCTGTTCATGAACATGAACTAGCTATTCATCCTACTTTTAACCATCAGCCAGACATTCTGCTGAATGTACTTGGTCCAGGTCCTGAAGAGTCTTACAGACACATCAGTCTCATCCTGGGTAAAAATAAAGGCAATGACAATTGTGTAAAACTCTTACAGTGCTAATGCTTTCTGAGTGAGGCAGGGATTCTTGTTCAGGTGTTCACTGGGCGAGCGGGGCGGGGGGTGGGGGGGGATGCTCACAGGAGAAGGAGTGTGGGAGCAGGTTGGGGCGGAAGAAAGCTAAATTAAGCTGCGGTCTTCAGCCTGTTGGCACAGGGCTCTGAACCATGGATCCAGAGCCCCGTGAGTTCTCTTGGGGGCAGGAGGGCTGGCCTCTTGTTCTCCCTGCCTTCAGCAGCTGCGTGCGTGGGATGGGGGGGGGGGGGGGTGCAGGCCTGCTAATGCCATCTGGGTGGGCCAAGACAGCACCTCTGCGCTGACTTCTCAATGCTCACCACACTGTGACGCAGGTACACTGACTGTCCCTAGCTTATAAATGAGGAAACTGTGGCATGGAGTCCCCTGGCCAGGGTCACCAGCTGGCAAGTGGAAGAACCAGGATTTGAACCCTTATATTGCTTCTTGTGGTCAAGCAAGTGACAATGAGAAGCAACATTAGGGTGTGCGGCCCTCGCCCCACTGTGCTCCAACAGGAAGGCCCACCGCACTCGCGCACACACGGGCTGCCTCCTGCCCACATCAGATCCCATTTACGTGACTTATCCCCAAACTGCCTCCCTCTCCACCTCCCTGAATTGACGCGGCCTGCTATTTTTATATCTGTGCTATAAAGTTCCTTACTAGCACCGTTTGCATTTATAGGTTTACTTGTTCACCTGTGTATCTGCTCCCTCCTCTAGGCCCCAGGAGAACAGCGACTGTGTCTGTCCCTTTACAACCGGAGCCTCACAGCCGCCTACCTCAGGGCCTGGCTCAGAGCAGAAACGCAGACCTCTGTGGAATGAGTGAATTAGGTTTCTCGGGTATCTTGGTTTGGCTTTCCCCAGAAACAGACCCTGGGACAAGGACTTGAGCACAAGCAGTTAATTTGGGAGGTGATCCCAGAAAACAGCAGTGGAGGAGCAAGACGGCGCTCACGGGGCCCTCTGGCAGTCTTCAGAGTTCACTTCATTGAGAAGCGAGGGAGCTGGGGTCTTTACCCTGCAACCCCTATCTGCTGTAGGCTGAGGGCTGTGTCTGGGGCCTTAACTCTCCAGGCCTCAGGCAGAGGGCTGCAGTGTTCACACCACGCTGCCCTCAGCTTGCAGAAGAGAATGCTACAGCAATCGGGGTGAGCCCTCAGCAGCTTCTGCTAGGTCAGACGATCCATTTCTGTGCCACCCCACGGGATGCAGGGATCATTATGTCTGAGGGGGCAATGGCCCACTGTCTCTCTAGTTTAGGCA